ACGTGCCTTGGTGCCAGCTTTAGGAGGACGCTAGCACGACTTCTCGGGATCCTGTGAACCTTCGTCGACGTGCTAAATGTGCTAAATAGCTCTGATGCAGTCCAACGACCGCTCGGCTAACATCGCGAGCATGGTGAATGGTGACGGGGAGACGCCCGAGATCCTGGCAGCCACTTGGATTGGACCTCACGAAGACCAGCTGTATGATATGATCCGAGAGCATCTAGCGCGCAGACAATGCATCTACGAATAAAACTCTCGGTTCGATGTTAATTAGCATGTTAGCGCTCGAACGACTAAATCTGAGGGTTTTGCTTGGTTTCGGGGTCTTCCTGTGGATAGTCACGGCGATAGTGGCAGCCGAAGCCTTTGGAACACTGCTTTTGGTTTTGGCGTTCTTTGTAAAGGCAGCGGGGCAGTGAGAGCAACCAGGTAAGCCGGCTCTGTACTTACAAGTCTGTGAGACTCGATCCCGAAATCTCCTCAACGTCTGTTGCAGTGTGCACCCAGTAGCGGAGGACAACACTGGAGGCGACGTGTATGTATGTATACTTCAGGCTTTCATACAACTGACCGTGAAGTTCCAAGTTGTACTATCGTTAGCAGAATGTGACTTCTCATGAGGCAGAGGTCGGCGCAGCAGACGTCTGCCGTGCCTTTGAGGCAGGATCCGTGAACCTTGGGGGAATCAAGGGTTTGAGGCTGTGTTCACGGTTCAGGGAGTTTCAGCTTTTCCAAATCTCAGACTGATGCTTGTCCGCAATAGCGTGTCAAGAACCACGATTTTCGGGTCTCTGAGTCGCACGCATGCAGGAACTGAAACAGCCATTCACACGAAATCCGTAAGCCGCTTTGACACCGAAGCCTTGAGCACAAGCCTCCGACTGTGGCTAGTCTTCGGGTCGTGACCCTAATTCCCAAAAGAAGTCTTAGGTCTTTCAGACCATGCAGAGAGATGCGGCGTCTTGGCAGCTCGGTGTCTTGGCAGGAGATTTCAGTGGTGCGAGAGATTTCATTGGGGTTGGGCATCCAGTTTTTCACCGAAGGTGCTCACAAGTACACAGGGAGAAGTCGATCCTTCAAGCAAGAAGGAGCCCTGTTGGCCTTCAGTATCAGTCATGCAATGTAGTGTAGGCCCAATGCCGGGGCTTCGGGAGGCTACGGTTTCATGGTTCTTTGCAGGGCTGAGGCCAGGCAAGGATCGGATTCTGTTGGCTGCCAGTGTCGTGTGTTGGCTGAAGGAACATAACTTGGAGGTTGGCGGAGGGTTGGTGGAGGGGGCTATTCACATGTCTTCTTCTGGCTGTGTAAGCAACCGCTAGGCGGATGTCGCGCTCGAGGCAGTAGAACCGTGCAACTAGCTTGCTTGACTTACCTGTTCATCAATGCTTATACCCGTGATATCCTGTGATTATGAAATGGGTGGTGAGGACTTAGATTATGATGGTTGTGAAAACAGGTTCCTGTGAAGTCCTACTTGTTTAATCAGGCTTAGACTAGCCTTAGTTGATAAAATCAGGCCTTTCGTAGCGTGTACTGGCGCGGCCAAAAGCGACAAGGAGGTAGGTAGCAGATGGACCAGCATGATTGACTTGCGATCTAATCCCGGTTCAACACGTCTGCTTCGGATCGTGATCTGGGATCGCCAGGTTCGGCATCCCCACTGTCAGACCACCAAGGCCGGTAAGTTGATCAGGGTTTCCGAACTCCAGCGATGGCTTCCAAGCTTGGCGCATTGGTTTTGCGAGTTTCTGAGTGTCAACAAGCAGGATTCAGTTCGACGAGGCTATTTCTGCGTTCACTGCTGTCAGGACACCGAATAGCCACCGGTCGCGGGCTGAGACATGGCACACGTGCCTCAGACAGTACAACACACTTGGTCCGGAAGCAATTCGCGCGATTGAGGCGTTTTATGGGCCCATTGTAGAAGATTCAGCGCATACCTCGATCCCCCCCTGGCATCTCCCTCTTTCACCGGAAGTTCGATGACCCCAGGTGACATGCTCTCCTTGATCGACCTGGCTGTTGAAATGCCGTCTGCCGCAGCGGTGTGGCCCTGAGGGAAGCTTGCTCGAAGCCAAAGTCTGGGGCACACAAGAAGCGTCGTGGCAAAAGACATGGGCTGGTGTTCCATGACGTGCCATGTATGATATTGTGTAGCATACCTGAGCACACTGTAGTAAAGACTTCGCCGACGGAAGTTGCAAGCGCCACAAGCTCGGATGGCTTGAGGAGTGGCAGGTCGTCCGTTTTCAATCTTGAGGATCGAGATCATCAAATCAAGGGTGGCCATAGGTCAATCTGCTTATTGGCAAATTGCGACTGGAATACGGCATGCGGAGCCTTGAACAGACCCTCGCTCAAACCTCAGCATATGAGTCTTTCGTGACTCGCCCACGGTCTGCATGCCTGACCGATACATCCGTGCCACCCTGGGTCATCACGCATGCCCAACAGACATTAAAGTAGGAAAGCTTCAGCCCAAACTGATGCCACAGCCTTTGACGCCTGCCCGACGTGAGCCCAAGATCCGGGGCGGGCAGACCTCGAAGAGTTTTCCATTCCGATTCTCCTGCCGTCGGATCCAGGCCACTGCTGGGGCGCTTCTTCGCCGGTCCAGTGTGGGCTGGGCAACCTAGATCTACAGCTGAATCCTGGGAGCTGCTGGGCTCATCTCGTGTTGATCGACTCTGCGAAACCAGAGACAGGCCATGGCCTGCTCCTTCTTGCTATCGCTGAGTCTCGCGGTCTTGCTGTGTCCCAGAGTCTGTAGCCGGTGGGAGAATAGTCCAAGCAAGCATTGTGGCTTCTGCGTTGGGTGTCGATATGTACCTTGCGTAGTCCGTTAATTGCCCAGACAAGATCTCGGTGTGCCAGTTCTACACATCGAAGTGCTGCTCAGGCACGCCTCTGGTTCCGAACATCTTCCAGCGAGTGCCTGAAGAGCAGGCTCGAAGTGTTTCAAGCTTCCACAGCTTGAACCATTGAAAATCCGTCGCAGGCGTTGATTGCAGTTTGCAGCTGTGGTTGGGCGGAATGGTGTAATTCAGCTAGGGCTCTTTCTGCTGTCGAGCGGAGAGCTTCCTGAGGCAGAGCTTTCGGAGATGGTGAGCAGGCCGGAACTATGCCAATACGAAGTTACATTTCTTCTGTGACTCTTGCTTGGTGACAGTCGTGAACATAAGCCCTGGAACAGTTCCGCTCTCGACAAAGTCGAGTTGCACAAATGGAAACATGTGTTCGGGACAAGGCATTCGAGGGAGGAAACCTGTTGCTGGCATTCCGCGGCTCTGATCTACAGTTCCAGTGACGTGATCGTGGCTCTCGCAGTTTGTAGGCCCTTTGCTGTTGACCCCTGTGCCCGAAACTCTTCTAACTCAAATCCAGAAACCCTCACCTCAAAATAGCCAACCTCCAGACTCCAATCGTCCTGGCCCGCAGGGTCTGCAAGGGAATCGAGACTGCCGAGTCCCAGCTGCTGCATCCCCGCCGCAGCCCAAGATCCGTGAGCCTCTGACTTATGTTTGGGGACCCTAATATAGTACCCTAAATAGTAGGATCCTTATTTTAAGGACCCCAAAATAAGGATGGGTTGCATTCTCATTTTCTGCGTCTCTGTGCTTCAAGCGACGCGATTTCGGAAGTCAGACACTCGTGCCAAAACCGTTGAACCGCACAGCGAAACCCCCGAAACTCGAATATATCCCACAAATGACGGTTCCAAATCCTGTAGAACCAGACCTTCCGCAAGTCTGCCTCCGAAACTCGAGGAGAGGCCTGGGATTCTACCGATCCGGGACTGGACCCGGGCCTTCGAAGGCATGCCGTGCACGTTAAGACTATTAAGATTCAGGGGTCTCGAGTTTGGCTCTGTGATTTTAGGTTTTTGCTCAACGTCGAGGATGGTATCTTGTTAGGGTGTACAATAGGGCTTTCCCCTTGGGTTTTGGGGGTGCTGGGTTTGGGGCCTCTTCCGTACTTGACTTTCTTGCGCGACTTGTCATTCTAGCGGTTCTGTCCAGACGATCCACACTTAGGTGGATTGGAGGTTGTTCTGCAGCAGATGCTTGCAATGTTTTCCTCGCAGGACTGCGGTTTTGCGAGACAACTAATCAAAGCGCTCGGGCACGTTCCCTACCCCTTGCTTTTGGATTTCCCACGAGATCCAGCCAAAGTGTGAAATCATGTATTTTTGTTCGCTAGGGTGTGCGCAATACTTGCCGAACAAGAACGAGCATTTCCGTCTCGCTTGAGAATTCATAACACCAGCTTGTATCGCGTGTATCATAGAATCATAGCCACACCGTCTAGGTAAAGATAAATGATATCAGCAGGAATAACAGCAAAAACCGAGTAGTAACAAACACAGTAATACTGTAGTAACAATAACCGTAATAGCAATACTACCAGTTGTAGAAGTAGAAGCAACCTTAGTAGTTTAGGGATAGCCGTCGTACTCGTCGTGCTCGCCAAGATGATAACCATCACCAGAACTTTAGCTGTTATCATTAACAGAAGAACATGCTTTTCGATAGGTAGTGATGCTCTGCGGTTTGACAGCTGTCCTGACCTGGGCATCCACTTGAAGGTCTGTGGCCTCGCACATTGGATTTCATGGGAAAATGCCGGAAGAAACCTGCTTCCCCGGGATCAGGTTCAACCTCTGTCGTGCGGCGGTCGTTTGCATTTTGTATGCATCTTCCCCTGAGGTTTGCACCATAACCCTTGCTCCGTTGAAGCACATAGCTAGCCGTCTGTAGATCTGACTGAAAGCTTGCGCTGCACATGTTAGCAGCTCTGGCAGTTTCGTGGCGACGGCAAGCTTGCGGAGCCAGTGGCAGAAGATCCGCCAGGAGGCCGCATGGCGTGATGCACCTAGCTGACATGCCGAGCCGTGCTTGCATGCATACTCAGCGCTTTGCACTCACGGCTCAGCAGGCTTTGGCTGCTGTGCCAGGCGAGAAGCTATGCCTGCCAGGGGTCACCGTAGATGAAACGGTTCTCAAGACTAGCCCAACCAGCCGTAAACTTTGTCAGATGAGTACGATGTGACGGTTTGAGTGTAGTGTAGGACTGCAAGACTTGTCCTCGTGAGGGTGCCCACTCGAGCTGCTTTGCGCACAATGCATTCGCAAGCTTTGAAGTTTACATGTACAGCTTGCCTTTCAAGCCAGCAGATGTCGAACGAACAGTCCACTTCTACCCACTGTACTTGGGTGTTTAAAACGCAATCGCCAGTCAACGGAAGACAGCAAGCACAGGGCAGCAAGCACAGGTGTAAGTACAGCAGCTGCAGAACATCGCCGATGACCCCCAGTGACCAGTGCAATGGCAGCTGAATTGCAGCGTGGATCTATCAAGCCCACGACTAGCACAGATCCAGCATCATGCCCAACTTGTGGTTGAGAGTCCCAGTTTTTCGGGTTGCTCGTGCCTTAGAATCAAGTCGGTCGGTGGTGAGATGCATGTTTGTGAAATTCATGTTCCTGTGATGAGGCCAGGTTTCTACGGTAGTGCGCGAGCATGTCGAACGGGGCTTCTGAACTGAAGAGTTTTGGTTTTCCATCTCCACGACTCTAAAGGATGTTTGAAGCCAAGGACTGGGTTGCACAATTCCCGCTCTCAACGAAAGGCAGGGCTATCGTCAATCAGCATGGAGAGCGCTTCCGTCTGCGAAGCGTCAACTGGTACGGTGCGAGTTTCTCGGCTGCCGCTTCCTGTGCTGGTTTCTTTCATTGCTGACCAGTTCAGCGTGACCGTGGAATGAGCCCAAATCTCCGTCTCAGGTGACCAAAATCATGTTGTTGGAGGACTGAACGTGCAGAGCCTGGAGACCATTTGCGGAACAGTACAGTCCTTGGGCTTCACAGCCGTCCGCCTGCCTTTCTCCAATGAGATGTTGAGAAGCAGTGTCGCCAGCGGTTGCATCGACTTCGACAAGAATCCAAAGCTCCAAGGGCTCACTGCTCTTGAGGTTCTTGACGAAGTGGTGCATTGCTACTGGACTGGACTAGCAACAGTTTGCGTGAGAACCCTCCTACTTGTAGCATCTAGGGCCTAGCGGGTGTTAACCTGGCTGAGTTGCAAAGGCTTGGCTCGACACCGGGTGGTCTCCATCCTGCCTCTCGACGTGGAGCTAGCATGTGCGGCAAGCAACTTGTTTTTCTCGTACTATGTTTGTGTAATGTTCTGCACCTTGACACTATTCTTCCTTTTACTTGACGGTTGCCGCGACGGTTGTCATGTTGTTCCGCCATTCTGACCTTCGTTATCTAGTTCTGCCAGTGCGTTTCCGTGCCGGTTTTAAGTAGTCAGTTGCAAAAGATGATCGTTACTCGAGGTTTTGTGTGTCAGAAACTGTTCATGTTCTTGCGCATCAATGCCTATTCCGATTTCTGCCATGGGTTTTGCAGGGAGACTGTGCCAAGCCCTCCGCCGTTGCCCTTCAGAGCAACCATAGGATTGTATTAGACGGTCATGGTCGTGAATGGCGAAAGCCCGTTGTCCGGTTTCAGAGTAGGTCGGAACTTCGGGGAAGCGGAGAGTCCCAAGCTGAAGTCCTAGTAGCATTAATTACTCCCCACTGCAACCGCCATAGATGTGTGGCTGCCTGTTCTGAAGTTCTACATGCTCTCGGACAGGCTTCCTCGTTCCGAGGGTTTCGAATGCAGCATAGGTTGTTGATCACTTACCTACAAAATCTTGGGTTGCGACAGGAACAACCACACCACGCACGGTGAGTGGTGCGGCGGCCCGGACCGCAATGGTCTCTGGTTCGACCCGACGAGCAGCTTCTACACGGAGGCCCAGTACTTCCCCCCGCTGAGGGTAGGCGGCGGTATGGGCCATTTGTAGCCAGGCCAAGGCCAGAGCAACGTGCATTGAGTGCTTCTCAAGCCGGACAGCCTGATACCACTGATGCTAGGTTGCTTAGGCTGGGGGTAATCAGTTTTCTCATTGCTCTCACCGGCCTTACTTTCCTTCACCTGCCAGTTTTACATTCTCTTGTTTCATGCATGGATCCGTCGTCGCCAAGAAGACTGGCCCTGTCCCTTCAAGATCTGACGCTGGAAGGCACAATGGCTTGAGGACTGGGCCATGCTGGCGAGCCGATATCGGGACTGCGGCTACGTTGTGGGCACCTTGTCTGCGAGTGGTTCGTCTACATCACTACATAGAGCACGAGACATCGGACGAGGTTTCCACGCCTAAGCTGCGCCCCGTTATAGGTGCATTGTACTTCGTCATCGAGCCCCCTGTCGCAGGCCCTAGATCACGGCTGCACCTCCACTGGCCCACAATCCAACGTTTGTCAAGTTTCGGAATCAGATGCAGAGCCTTGCATCATGCAAGCCCCTGGCTTGCTCACAGTAGCCCTGATAGCTTTCTGGATGAGGCTTCGACTTGCGGAACGAGGTCCGTTTCTGCCCTTGGCCGTTCCGCTACCCCATCTGGTTGGGTGGTGGGCCGAGGAGAACATTTAATGGTGATCTACGGTGGAGGATGCAGGTTTGAACGTTTCGGGTGTGAAGGGTTCACAGCTGTGCCGGTGAGGTGAGTTGAACACTTGTTCCTGACTTTGTAGAACAAGCTAAGAGGCTTGTTCACAGAAACGGCCGTACCTTCTGGCTCAGACAATGCAGCTTCCCGCACTTTGCTTTTCGTTTTCGAAGCCTTTCTACTGTCTCCGCATATCCGAACCACCGGTGCGCAGAACCGTCGAGTGAAGCGTCCTGTCTTGCAGTATTCCCTGCAGCGTCTCAGAGGATTCTGCGGAAACTCCTCGGCTGCCTGGGCTTCTGCGACTGGGCCGATGCAGCGCGGCGTTGCGCGCAACGGTCACCGGATGAGCACAGGGGATGAAAGCGTTAAAGGGTAGATGTAGAGGCCCAGGAGGATGTGCGGGATGGACAGTGATCTCTCCCTGATGTCCGTTCCTGCGGCAAGCTTGATCAATGCGGTCTCCGGCGTGTAGCGGGTCGTGCATGTGAGGGTGCACCGACAGGTCCGGATCTGTCCTGTCAAGCTAGCACCAGGATCTTATGACCAAATCACTAGATCTTGCCCAAACAAAAACTTGGCTTGCTACCTTGCTTTTTCAGTATTCAGGCTGCTGGAGACCTGCCCAGACAAATTGTTGGTCGTGGAGCGCCGGATTTGGCCAATGAGGGGGCTGCGGGGCTACGACGCTTGGGCATGAAACGTGCTGAGCAGACCAGAAGCTACACTTGCTGCGAGCATCACAAGTACTGGCGACGGAGTTAAGAGATGGTAGGAAGCTACATCACTAGCGAAGCTTGTGGTTCCGTATGTCTTTTTCGAGGACACATGTCTCTTGCCGGAGCTCCGGAATCGATTGGTTCTTGGAGTACACCACTACAGCTGGAAGCTCGACGTACGCAGTGTTGCATCCGTGAGATACACCGAAGCTGGCCTTTCCAGCAGCCCTTGCTCAACACCTTACCATGCTTGACCAAGGAACGGTCCTGGCCGCTACCTACCTTTTGCGCATCTGAGGAGGAACGGTTGGCAGCTCCTCTCAAGGAGCTCCGAGGTATGTGATGCAGCTAGCGAGAGCTCCTGCGTCTGAGTTGTTGCGTATAGGTAGATGGGTTTGATCTCTAGGCACGCTTTTCTCCGATGTGGTAGATGTGGCATCTTCAGGCAGTTCGAGGCATCGAAGCACATCTCAAGTGCATAGCAGCTGCCTCATTGGCTCGAGCCTCGCAGGAGTCTGCTGAGATTCCTGCGGATCTTCTCACATCAGAACTACGGCGAGATGTCGGCAGGAGAGCTGTCCGATGTCCTCTTCGAGCAGTGGGGCTGCCTTGCGTCGATTTCATAATGCTTTCACAGGGCTTCCAGCTAAAAGCCGAATCCTCCAATGTGATTGCCCTCTGAATTTAGGAGGGGCTTCTACGTACAAGCAAGAAATACAGTTTTAGGGAATGACGTGACGCTGGTAGCATCCCATCACAGCATCGTGAACTGAGCTCATGACCGAGTCGTGACCCAGACTTTTAGACACCCGGAAAGAACTGGACATGCATCGAGTGTGGATGACTATTTCTGCTGCCTTGTTAGTCTTGTTTTTCTTGTTAAATCATCTTCAGTGTTACGACTGTGCTGACTCTTCTTATGGTTTAGACCATGCTCTCATCGTCCACAAAGTGAGCAAGTGCAAAGGTTGGCTCCTTGAAGGGGACATCTGCCCTGTGTGGATCAGCGAGTTCGGCACCGGTCCTGCTCCAGGATTCGATCTGGACCGGCTTTTGGGATCACGGGAGCAGTTTTGCGGCCCAGGGTTCAATCTCACTGTCGTTTGCTGCATGCTGCGAAAACCGTCGTTCCGGCGATGTCCTTAGGCAGGATGTGCGAAAGCTTGGCGAAAGCACCACAGATATTGAGATAAACGAAGACTGGGAGACCTGTGGCTGGGGGGGGGGAAAGATGCCTTTCGGAGGGTTTCTCTTCAGCACCTCTCCTGGCAGTCAGCTCCCTTACAACGGTCACACAGTGAACTTCTTCGAGAATGGTTTGGCAATGCTATGTGGCCCGACGTGTCTGGAGCCTTGTGACCCTCTGAAGGACTGGTTCAAGCGCTTTGTGGAGATTCTGGGCCGGATGGAGGTGGACTATGCTTACTGGCCCTTGAATGTAGGCCTCCTGGCTGTTCCAGCGGGCGTTGTGAAACTCAGGGTCGCTTTCCAGTGTGCTTGTAATCACAAGTATTCTTTTATTCGCGGGGAACTTTTTGCTGGCGTCGGGGACTGATCTGCGGCTGCTCGTGGTCGGTAAAACCAGACACGACCAACACCTTCGTCCAGAGCCCAAGTGCAGTCATGGCACGGTGAAGCGCAACTTGGACACCATCGCTGCCAAGGCCCAAAGCCGGGCTGCGGTGGAGACGAGCCCTATGGAATGATATCTCAAGACCCTCATCCTGACTGGACTGAAGGGGGATGTTGGAGAGGGAGGCAGCTGCTTGTGTTGTTCGTGCACATGTCCTGGGGAGTACCTCTAAAAAAACGTCATGCAGATGTCTGCGAATCGCAGTTTCATGCTGCCGCTGGCGGTGTAGTGCATGTCTGCAGCATCAAGGGCCGAACTAGGTTTTTCAATCGGAGCTGCCGCTACCTGTTGCTTTCGCCGATCCCAAAGCCCTTCACTCTAAGGACTGGACTCCCAAGCCCGAAGGCGACATCCGGATCAATTTGCTGCCGGGTTGCAATGACGAAGCTTTTTTTTCCGGGAGGTCTTGTCTAGCCAGAGTCTAGTCACTAGTCAGTCTACAGTAGTGACATTCCCCATGTACATGTCTAGATCAACATGAGACATAGATGGGTTCGTTTGTGGACCGAGCTGGTCAGGATACATTTTGGCAGCGAGGCAGTTGCAAGGACGCGGCAGTTTGGTTCAGCTCAGGTTAGCCATTTGAGTCGTCCAAATTCACTCCAGTTCCGCATTGATCCCAGCCCCGTCGGTTGAACCGTCCTCCACTTGTCCCAAAGTTGAACAAGTTGCAGTCAGGGCGGCGATAGCAAATCATCAAAAACACTGGATATGTCCCGTGATCGCAGGCTGCAGGTTCCAACTCGTAATCAAGCCCCAAAACCTTTGAATCTTCATCCAAAAACCTTAGGCCAACCTTAGGCCCTCAGCAGTGTACGATGTGTCCCAGGTTACGACTCCACGGGCTCCTCCCGGCCGTCGGAAGTGAGGAGAAAAAGAGATGCGCGTTCCCACAAGATTCAGGTATCATAAGATCCTAATGCAATGGCAGTAGGGTTCAGGCGTTTTTGGGGTTTGCACGGTTCTATCTCGAACGTCTCACATCTGAGACGTTCTCTGCAATCCTCGGGCAGGTGCCGACTCGCAACTCGAGGACGCTGGGGCAGGGAGTGAGGGGAGCCAAGACATATCGGCTTTGAAGGGGTGAGACTGGTGCTGCCGGAGGCTTCAGTCGCGGTCCTGGCTCGAGCTTTACGAGTAGGATTTAAGGGTACATTGTTCAGCATGTTCTCGTTGCAATTGTGCAGGTAGTGCGAAACTTGAGCATGCCAACCTCCCATGCACAAGACCTGCTTGGCACATCGATCGAAGAATGCAAAAAAGGCAGCCCGCTGCAAGGATTTCTGGCAGACACACCTCACCGCAGAGGCAATGGACAGGCACTCAGAGTTTGGCTTTGGTGGATGTGGTCGGCAACTTGCAAGTTCAGTCAGTTCAGAAATCGGCCGGCTCGACTAGTAGAGGACTAAAGCAGGCTGGTGGTTCAGACATCTTGAAGCCAAGGCCAACACCATGCGCCAAGCCACCACCGACACCTTCCAGTTGCTGCTGACAGCTTTATGGTCCCCTGGATGCGAATTCTAGGGTTGGTTTTCGGAGATGAAAGGCCCTTTACACAGAAAGTGCCGCGCTCCACCTCTTTTTCAGAGGGGCTGGTGCCCCAACGTGTAGTCGGCAAGCAAGATCTGGATCTCGTGAGCCTGGCCGAATGCGGGTGTTGTTATGGCTAGGCCGGTTAGGCGATGCAGTGCTAGTAGGAGTAGCGGTAGGAACGATGTAGAAGTAGTAGAGTTAGTAGAGCAGAACTGTGGTAGCAGCAGCAGCAGCAGAAGTAGCAGTGGCAGCAGACCTAAAGGAGCACGAGCAGGAGAGGAGTTGTAGCAACAGCAGCAGTATCAGTTGCTGTAGCAGTAGCTCGTAACAGTAGCAGTAGCGGGAGTCGTGGGGTGGGTTGGTAGTAGTAGTAGTAGTAGCAGTAGTAGTAGTAGTAGTAGTAGTAGTAGTGGTAGTAGTCGTAGTCGAAGTCAGTAGGGGTAGAAGTAAGTAGAAGCAGCAGCAGCGGTAGCGGTAGCGGTGGAAGTGTAAGGAAGGGGATAGGGGTTAAAAAAAAATTAAATAAGGATCAACAAAAATTAAATAAGGATCGAAAAAAATTAAATAAGGATCAAAAAATAATTAAACTAAACGAGTATCCGCGAAAGGAAGGGGAAAAAGGAAGGAAAGAAAGACAGAGAGAGAGAGAGAGAAGGAAAGAAAGAAAGAAAAAAAGAACGAAAGAAAGGAAGGAAGAAAGAAAGCAAGGAAGAAAGAAAGAACGAAAGAAAGCACGAAATAAAGAAAGAAACAAAATAAAGAACAAAAGAAAGAACGAAATAAAGAAAGAAAGCCATGCAAGAAATAGAGAAATAAGTAAATAAAGAAAGCTATAAGTAAAGAAAGAAAACAAAAATAGAGAACTAAGTAAATAAAGAAAGCTATAAGGAAAGAAAAAAGAAAACACAAGGAAAGAACCAAAGAGAGTTAGAAACAAAAACAAAACAAACAATGAAGAAATAACCAAAGAACAAAAACAGAGAAACAAAGAAAGACGGAAGGCCATAAGACACGAAGGAGAGAGAGAAAGAGTTAAACAAAAAGAGAGAAAGAGCTAGAAAGAGACAGGGACAGGAACAAACAAAGGAAGAAAGCAAGGCAGAAACAAAGATATGCAGTAAAAAAGAAGATGCAAAAAAAAGAGGTATATAGATACATAAACAAAGAAATACAGAAAAGAAAAAAGAACGACAGAAAGACAGAAGGAAAGGAAGAGATGACGGCAAGATTGATTGAAGCAAGGAAGGAAGAAGGTAAGGAAGACAGGAAGAAATAAATAACGAACGAACGGAAAAAAACAGAAAAAAACAAACGGAAAGAACCAACCACAGAAAGACAGACAAGGAATGATCGAACGAAATAAAGAACGCAAACCCAAAAAACACAAGGGAATAAGAACAACACAGTAAGAACGACAGAGCAAGCACGCTGAATGGCTGCAATTGCCGTATTTCATTTTTTGATCCTTATTTGATTTTTGTTTGACCCTCGGGTTTTTTATCCCTACAACTACAACTAAAACTGCAACATACTACACCTACAACCACAACGCCAACAACAACAACACTACTAGCAACAACTACACCACGAAATCCGTCCTAAATGCGAAATTGTCAGGAAAATTTGATTTTCCCGAGGAATAAGCTAGGTAACGTATGTTTTCCTTCGGAAAACCTGAAGAAATGACACGAACGCCGTAGGCAATAGGAAAATATGCTTTCTCCTAGGAAAAACCAAGGAAAACTTAGAGAAATAACACAAAATCCGTAGGAAAATCGTGTTTTCCCCAGGAAAAACCAAGCAAATCCTTAGGAAACGAAAGAAAATCCCTAGGAAAGCAGTGTTTTCCCTTGTGTATCTAAGAAGCAAGAAAGAAAGACAGAAAGAAAGAAAGAACGAGAGAGAGAACGAAAGAACGAAAGCAAAAACAAGAGGAAGAACGAACGCAAGAACTAAAGAAATAAACTTAAGGAAATACCACGGAATCCGTAGGAAAATCGTGTTTTTTTGAGCAAAAACCAAGCAAATCCTCAGGAAATGCAAATGAATCCGTATGAAAACAGTGTTTCACCTGGGAAAAATTCAAAAATTGCTGTATCTAAAGAGGACGAAAGAAAGGAAAACAGAAAGAAAGAAAGATAGAACGAGAGAGCGAACGAAAGAACGAAAGCAAAAACGAAAGAAAGAACGAAAGCAAGAACGAAAGAAAGAACGAGCCAAAGAAAGAACGAAATAAAATCAATCCAGAAAGAAATCAAGAAAGAAAGGAAGGGAGTATGAGATGAACAAAGAAAGAACAACAGAAAGAAAGAAAAGAAATGAACGAGCGAAAGAATGAAATAAGTCCAGAATAAAAAAGCAAAGTTGGAAAAGACGAAAGAGAAAGAATATGAAAGAATCACGGAAACAAAGATACAAGCAACAGGATACTACATAGCCCAATCGAATTTACCATAATATCGTAATGTACCGTAACATAATATAACATAATGTGACCTAATGTTATAAAATATACTACATAGTATGTTGTAAATATACACACTGTATTGTACTATGTTACAATGTACTACACTATAAACTAAGATGTTGTTTTGTTCTATGTCATCTTCTGTTATATTGCATTCTTGTATTTTTAGTATGCTATTATATGCTATAAGAAGCAAGGTTCTGTTATGTCAGAAAATGTCACACCATTTTTTGTGTTGTCGAACCATCTTATGTCGTTCTTCTGGTTTACTATGTTATATATATATTAGGTTAGAATGCTAACGGAAGAAGAGACACGAACAGGCACGGAAGAACAAAACACCCGCCGCCGCGCTTTTCGAGACGTGCAAGCTTGATTCAAAGAGTGTTTTCGAAGCCCATCATGTGAACGTTGTCTCTGCAAATGGGGGGGGCTGCGCCCCCCCCCAACGCCCCCGCCGTTTTCAGCCGTGCAGGGTTGCTTTGAAGCATATGCCTTTTTTTGAAACCCAGCAAATGAGGGCGTCTCCGCCCTTGTAGATACATGCTGAACCAGAATCGCCAAATGAGGGGCGTGTTTAAGATAGATGATGAAGCGGAACCTCAGGAAATGAAAACGAATCCGTATGAAGACAGTGTTTCCCCTGGGAAAAATTCAAAAATTGCTGTATCTGAATCTAAAGAGGACGAAAGAAAGGAAAACAGAAAGAAAGAAAGATAGAACGAGAGAGAGAACAAAAGAACGAAAGCAAAAACGAAAAAAAGAACGAATGCAAGAACGAAAGAAAGAACGAACCAAAGAAAGAACGAAATAAATCAAACCAGAAAGAAAGCAAGAAAGAAAGGAAGGGAGTATGAGATGAACAAAGAAAGAACAACAGAAAGAAAGAAAAGAAATGAACGAGCGAAAGAAAGAAATAAGTCCAGAATAAGAAAGCAAAGTTGGAAAAGACGAAAGAGAAAGAATATGAAAGAATCACGGAAACAAAGATACAAGCAACAGGATACTACATAGTCCAATCGAATTTACCATAATATCGTAATGTACCGTAACATAATATAACATAATGTAACCTAATGTTATAAAATATACTACATAGTATGTTGTAAATATACACACTGTATTGTACTATGTTACAATGTACTACACTATAAACTAAGATGTTGTTTTGTTCTATGTCATCTTCTGTTGTATTGTATTGTTGTATTTTTAGTATGCTATTATATGCTATAAGAAGCAAGGTTCTGTTATGTCAGAAAATGTCACACCATTTTTGTGTTGTCGAACCATCTTATGTCGTTCTTCTGGTTTACTATGTTATATATATATTAGGTTAGAATGCTAACGGAAGAAGAGACACGAACAGGCAAGGAAGAACAAAACACCCGCCGCCGCGCTTTTCGAGACGTGCAAGCTTGATTCAAAGAGTGTTTTCGAAGCCCATCATGTGAACGTTGTCTCTGCAAATGGGGGGGGCTGCGCCCCCCCCAACGCCCCCGCTGTTTTAAGCCATGCAGGGTTTGCTTTGAAGCATATGCTTTTTTTTGAAACCCAGCAAATGAGGGCGTCTCCGCCCTTGTAGATACATGCTGAACCAGAATCGCCAAATGAGGGGCGTGTTTAAGATAGATGATGAAGCGGAATACCAGCAACAGCTACAACAGGAAATCCGTCCTAAATGTCAAATTGTAAGGAAAATTTGATTTTCCCGAGGAACAACCATATGTTGTCCTTCTGAAACCTGAAGAAATGACACGAACGCCATAGGTAATAGGAAAATAGGCTTTTTCCTACGAAAAATCAAGGAAAACTTAGGGAAATACCACGGAATCCGCAGGAATATCGTGTTTTCCAGAGGAAAAACCAAACAGATCCTAAGGAAACAAAAGAAAATCCCTAGGAAAACAGTGTTTTCCATTGGAAAAATTCAGGAATTGCTGTATTTTACGTGATTTATTTTTTTTTTGATCCTTATTTTATTTTTTTTGCTGCCTCTGCCCCAGGAATTGCTGTATTTTGAGTGTTTTAATTTTTTTGATCCTTATTTTAATTTTTTTTGATCTTTGCATTTAATTTTTTTGATCCTTATTTAATTTTTTTTGATCCCTCACCCGTAAGGAAGTGGCAGTGGTTGTGGTTGTTGTTTTTGTTGCTTCTGCGGTCGCTGTCGTCGCCGTAGGAGGCGGAGTAAGGGTAGGGCCGGGTAGGGTATATAATCATGCAATTGGTGTCACTTGTTCTGGTAAAGTCTCCTTCTTGACCTTGTGGCTTTCACTTCTGCTTCCCAGGCTCTATACCCGCGAGGCCTGATTCTTGGTGTGTTGTTGGGGTGCGGCTCGCGGTTGGTGCTCAGGACCTCGTTATTGTTCCAATCAGCTCACAGAGTCGTCACTTCCAGGCGACGCCTAGGAAGATTCCACAGTGCACGACATGAGTTGAGAGAAGGAGTCTGGACATAGCTTCGCGGTTTCGCTTTCAGACTGCCTGGGAACCCCGGCGATGTAGCTTGCACGAATTGAACTTTCCGCCACCTTTCGACTCAAGACTGGCTCGATTCCCCGACTTCCGCCACTGCCCAAAACCCTAGGGAAAAACCCACAGAGCCGATAGAAACAGACTGCGCAGACACTGAGTCTACAGTCTACAAGGCCTGGCTTCGGCACCTCCTCGACGCTCTGGCCGCCGCCGTGTATGGCGTCCATGGTACGCACGCCGAGGCCGTGACGGAGACGAACAACAAACAGTGCTTGCAGTGCCACAATACATAATTATAATGATCAGTGGCAGTACTGACTGCGAGAATGGTCATCGCCGTAGCAGTACCACTGCTAGGAGCACTAGCAAAGAAGTTGCACGGGCAAGACGTGCTTGCAAGATCTTGCGAGATATTTCTGAAGTTAGGAGGGCATTCTACTCTCTTGAGGGCCCCTTGCGACCGGCCCTCGACCGCATCGATTTGCTGACCCCAAGCCAGCCCGTTTAGAATCCCGACAATGTCGCCCTTCGTCCGGAGCGTAGCGTCTAGCGCCCTCAAAGACGAATCCAGCGAAACCTTTGCTATGCAGGGCGATCGTGGTGCCACGGGCGAGGCGCCCGTGGCACTGCCCGCCGAGTTTGCTCCAGTGGCGCCCTTTGTAGAGGCTCTGTCGCCGCCCGGAGGCCCAGCAAGAGGAAGCTGAGGTGTCATTGGAAACACCCCTCTCAGTAGAGCAACTCGGGACTTAGATTTTTAACTGGGCATCAAGATTCTTGTCTCGATTCGAGCGCGGGTAGGCTTCGCCTTCACTTCTTTGAGAGTTTTGGATGACCCTGCTTAGCTATTGAGATTCGCGGAACCTGTCGGGAACACCAAACCAGCAAGAAACCACTTCAGTTTTTTTGGTGTCCTGCTGGAGAAGTCTTGGCTCTTTAGCCCGAAAGGCCGCGCTTCTGAGCTCATCACGGAAGCCCGCTCCCAAACACAACTCTCCACAGTGTGACTCTGTTTGCTTCACGCTGGCCAACTACTCCATCTGCAGCTGACTCAGACCCAAAGCCAGAGGCCCCATTCCTTCTCAAGCTCCTAACTTCCACATCCTCGCAAAACTTAGACCGGAAACCGGAACTCAGTAACCATGGCCCTGAAGCCGTGCTGAGGTGTATGCAGCTAGTGCAAGCTGCCCTCCTCTGGTTTGAGGAGGCCAACATCCGACATACAGCTGTGACGTCGGGTTCCAAGTAGCTGCTGAAGCTTGTACGGGAATGAGGCGAGCTCATAATTAGCCTAGATTGGCAGCTACACGTAGCCGGGGCTTCAGGTCCACCATTTAAAAGAAACAGGTTCGAGTGCTCGAGCCCGTGGGCTTTTGCGATCTGGTTCTTGCACTTGCCTTCTGATGGCCGCGGGAGCTGTTGGATCCGATTTAAGGCTGCATGGCACCAGACACTGGCAGCATTGGCACGATTATCGGAGGCTTCTCGAAAGCCGCTCTGTTCATCCGAGACATGACATGGCTTCCAATATCTACCCAACACTCCAGTACACCACATGGCACGTGTTGACCTTATGCTGACCTGACAACCTCCTTTCTTGGCATGCGTGAGCGGAGTGACGACGATGGTGTGTCGACGGCGCTAACCGCCTGCTTTGACACCGCTTGAAGCCATGCCTTGTTCCGTGAATTTTCCCTGGCATATAACATGCATCTTGCTACCCCCTCAAAGCTGAGACTCAGGGAAACCACTCGATTTGCGGAAAGAGTGCCATTAACACTGCTGCAAAACGGAAGCAGTCAGATGCAAGAAACACTTAGAGATGCCACAGTCACTAGAAACCACCAAGAAGAAGAAATTGAACTCTTCCCGCTTTGCGGAGTTCACCGAAGATCCCGCCGCAGCTCAGGTACCGCCCTTTGCAGCTTCCCATGCTCGGCTTGCAGAAGCTGGTCGACCGGTGCCCTTCTTGAGAGCGGGTAAAGCGCAAGGGACTTCGCTTCGGTCTGTAGCAAACTTTGGGCCCAACTGCCAATTCCACAAGCAGAGCTGTTCTGTCATCCGGTGCCTCCACAGACGCGTCCCCTTGGCCGACGCTGGAGTCGTTTGGCCAACAAGCTGCCAAATTATGGCGATCCCTGCACAGGTCCATTGACTAGCAGGTGGTCGCCGAACATGCGTAGCTGTTCAAAATGTTTGTGTCTGGCAAGCCTTACCCGAAGAGAGTTGCGGTGCCGCAAAACGAACACAATGCGACATTGTTGGTGGATGTTGGTCGGGTGTTCAGGCAAGGGGCTTTGCGATACGTTTGCCGCGCTGAGATGGCATGAGGGCAACGCAACCTGGACCTTGGAGCGGCGCTTCTGATTCTAAGCGTTTTGAAGATGTTCCTCGCTGGCATACGACGAACCAGGCCTCGTGCACCAGTAAGCTGCAAGAAGAGCTGGCGAAAGAAGTGATGCGTTTTGTTTGACGGAGTGCCGACGCCGGAGCTCGAGGCCTCAGGGCAGCTCCTTCGCACCAGTGTCCACGACGCTGGAGACGGTGCAGAACGTTTTGCTAGCTTCTCGATAGCTGATAGCTTAACATAAATGTATCCATCAAGCGGAGTGGGGCATCCAGCCACATGTGGGGGAGTGGCCATTGCGGCATGCCTAGGAGATCGGGTCGGAAGACAGTGCTCGTATCGGTGCAGGTACGTTGCGGCACGAAAAGCTGGCGATTCAGTGCAGGTGGGGCCGACAGACAGCTACTGCAAACAAGAATCGCAGCAGAGATACGCACTCGTCCTAGCACTAGCAGCTTCTGCCATGTTTGACTGTAGGCAAGATGGCCTGAGCACCCATGGCTTCCTTGTTCACACATGTAATATCATGCAATGAAGTAATGACAAAGCGATGCCCATGGCAACAAAGCAGGAAAGCGGCCGACTGGACAGTGGTTACTGGCTGTCCTTGGGCCGGACACTTACCGTGGTTTCGTCGGGGAATCAGGATGGATGTTTCGAAGTCGTAAAGCCCTGAGTTCCCAAGCGGCCCTGAGGCGGTGGATCCTTCTTCAGTTCGCTGTCTTCACGTAGCATGGTTCGGGCCACAGAACAGCGTAGCATGGAGCATACTGCACGGGGCTCGCTGTTGGGAGAGATCCGTGACTAACTGGGTGCAGACTTGTGCAATTAGGCTTTGTTATCGTCTTGGTTGCCACCGGCAAACTTGTCTGACTGAAGGAGTGACAACGAGAATGCTTCAGGGGCCTTCCGGTTCCGGCGCTGGCAACTGCTTCCACGGGAGCGCTTTGCGTGAAAGGTGTGTGTGGTTCAGCTCTAAAGTAAAATAACCACGTGCCAATTTTACTAAGACATGGAAATTGACGAAATTGCTGTCAAGCTGACGCACCGTGCCTTGCAACATCGTTCGGTTTCAGACTTCTTTGTGCCCAGTCCTTCCGGAATGCACCCGTATCGCAACCCGAATGATGTGGGCTTCCTCACGTACGAGGTTTTGCACCCCACGCCAAACCTTTAAAGGTTGTTGGACCCCCTATGTTAGGGCCACTCATGGGAGAGCCGTGAGGCCATCTCCCGGCTGGCGAAGACTCGCTGCAACGTGTTGGTGATCATAAGGTGCTGTTCTCAGCCACCTGTTTGACCGGACGAGCAAGCATGGGACAGGACATGGCACTGCAGCCAAGGCCGGATGAGAGCTCTCCGAGCTATCCGAAACACATGTCTCTGCCGGGACCAGAGTTGGCCAAGCTTGAATCATGAATCCTACTGCATGCAGATGCAAGGCTCTCCCACAATCTCCGCAGGCAGACAAGACACTCTCTCCACCTCTGGGGCTCAGTGTGTGCTTGTTATCTCCTCTCTTATCACTCGCATCGCTCTCTCGCCCACGAAATCGATGGTAATCAGCTCTTGCCCTGGTTTTCGACCGCCCATCGCATCTCCGTCCGGCCAGAGCGACATGATGCAGCAAGATTGCCGTTCTCGAGGAGTTCTCGGGTCTTGTTTCGTCGAGGGTTCTAGCTCGGACATTCCTGGATCTTCCATCTACAGTTCACGGAACATGTTTGTAAGTTAACATGCAAGCTGTCATGGACTGCGGTGCTGGCTGTCCCAAAAGCAACCCAAACCCGTTCCGCTAGATGCCCGAACCTTTGCCCAGGCGTGGAAGCAACGTGGATGACTCCATCTTTTCCCTGGAGACCCTCTTCCGGATCGGGCGTATCACTCGCACTGTTAGCCCAAGCCCCAGGGACCTGAGCCGAATAGACTCTTAGCCGGAAGCCTCCGGTGGCTGAAGTCAACCCTTCGTGGCTTTTGCGCAAGGCTCTGAGCTGGATGTGGACGGCTCCGCCCACTTTACAGGACCAAGGTCTCGATGGCCGGCTGAGAGCTTACACTCTGTGCAGGGGTTGACGGATGTGGTAATTGGGGTCGAACAGAATCCTAGCAAGAGTTGCTGTCAAGCGTGCTTATCTTCATATTGAGTGACTCCTGTACTGGCGTTGCCAAGACATGGGCTTGAGAAGCTTGGAGCTGAAGGAGGGTGAGATTGCCCGAAGCTTCTCAATCGGGTTCCAAGTGATCCCATCTCGACTTGCGGACAGACTGTCCGAGCGAGGGTCAGTCTGCTGGCTTCTTGCATGACTGCTGGGTTGTAGAAACTGACAGCATTGACGAAGTCTCCTGAGGCTGATGTCGCTTGGGTGTGCACTGCTCAGGTGATCATCATCGAGGTCTACTCCGTGAGTTGCTTCACAGAGGCGCCACACGTCCCTGAAGGGGTGACTCGGAGTGACGGCAGTGATTCTGGCGCTTGGAACATGAGGGCAACATCCGGAAAGCCAGTAAGCAGGTAACCTTATCATACCGAAAGCGATTGGTCGATGTGACACGGCGGCTACAGGCCCTCAGGCCGCTACGTTTGCGCACCCTTATGAGATGTCGTGATTTGCGGCTGTGTTGTCGGATATTCTGAAAATTTCTGAAACATATCGCAGTCCTGTCGCGCTGTGATCCGAAACCCCAAGACTCGTGAGAAAGCGACTGTTTCGAGCATCTCCACAACTACTATTCCGCAAACCTGGATTATCAGCATGCTCTCGCCTCATTTTGGGCCGTTGATTGCAGCGGAGCAGAAACGAGGGTGCGATTCGCGAGCTTCAACGACCGACCATGTTGCAGAACAGACATCCTGGTCCGCATGACCACTACTGCTTGCATCTTCGGCAGCTTTTCTCAGGCCGGACTCAACAATGTCAAACAGCAGGACAACCGCATTTCAAGAGACTTCGTCGATAAGCATGCGCCACATCTGTGTCCTAGAATGTCCTGGCAATCTGCCTGACATTTTGCGGCGGACCGTCACTACTTCGCCTCGATTGGGTGTGTGTGTGTGTGTGTGTGCGGTAGAACCCTTCCAACTTTTCAGCTCTCCTGCACTGTAGCTTACGATTTTTCGATGGAGATCACACGCAAAAGGCGATGTGTGCGACGGCAGGCTTTCACAGCGTACAAGGGTGCGAAAACGGATCACTCCGACCTGGAACAGATTCTGCCAAGGGTCCAACGTTCAGCGAGAAAGCGAATCGCTTCTCATTCTAACACAACAGACAGTTCTCATTCTTGGCATATGGAACAAACCAAGAGGCTGTCGAGCTGTTGCAGAGCCGCCAGCAATTGCGGCCGGGAGAGCTTGGCATGAAGCTTGAGGACTCCGTGGGGCCTTGCGCGATTTTTAGCACTAGACTATACTTGCAAAGTGAAGCGCGCAGTTCCTGTGCAGGGGTGCCAGGGTCATTTCAGGATGTCAAGTCTGACTCTCTCGTGTTTTTGCTCGGATATAAGGTGCTTGAGGCATGCGTTCAAGGCCTTGGGTCTGACATACTTTGAATGCAACCCTGATCCATGCCGGACCGGACAGCGTCGCAAGCGAACGCGTCGATAATGTTGTGAACAGCATGAAACTTGTCATCTCAATAAGCTGTGCGCAAAGCAGCCATACACCCCCACAACTTTACGCAGTTTTGCCTTCCAGACTTTGTGCAGCATGAAACCAGCCCAAGGCGTGGGCCAAGGGTTCAAGCTTTTCTCAAGCTGCAGAATTCTTTGCTGCTGTTGCAGCTAGAAGATTGGTCGAACAGCGTAATTAGAGGTCCAACCTGAGCACTGAGCAGTGAGATGTGGAATCCTGGCAATCACAGGTGCACTTGTGTCCGGAATCTAGCCCTAATCACATTCTCAACACTCATACCTCTGATAATTGTGAAGCAGCCGCAGCCGCAAGCTCAGAAAGGATTTAGGAAACACCGCTCAGCATCCAGACAAAATCCGCCAGGAGTGGGTGGCTTCAGCTCCGCCCGACAGGGAACGGCTGCAGCTTTCAGACATGTGTACGCATTTATTACACACATATCATATTCTTTTCGGTCTCTCTAAATGTACATTCTTAAACACTGTGCTAGTGAGGGCTGTTTGAGGGAACGGATACCGTACATGTGGCAGTATCAACCCTGTCAGACTGATAGAAACAATATCAGCCAGTTGCACGTTAGCTGTTGGTACAGTCCTGGGTTGTTGGCATGCTGACCATGTGCATAGTGTCTCGGACCCTTATACCACACACGTATGTATTGTGTCATAGCATGTCGGATCGTATCCTCCTGTGTTGTGTAGTATAACCATGCATCGTACTGTGATCTATAGTGTTGCATTGGATTGTATTGTATTTTGTTGCATTGTACTGTGCCGTACTCGCACTGTGTTGTGCAGTGCTGTATATTGTTATATACTACCTTGTATTGTGTTGTGTAGCAATTTTGTATTGTACTTTATTGTGCTGTATGCACTGGTAGCAAGGCAAGCATATATACATACATATACCTATGTTTGTACATGTATGCATATGTGCATATGCGCTTGGGTGTATTTGCATGTGTGCACACATGTATGTCTCTTGTGCATGTGTGTGCGTGTTATGAATGTTTGAAAATACAGGTGATTGTACACCGCCCTCTTTGCTCTACCTGACACACTGCATGTTAAACGTTCGACGTTGTATGGTGGATAATGCACCTGTCTCGTGCATCAGGTTCCGCAAGCTTCATGTAGAAGTTGTGCGGGTTGATACATGTGTATGATCTGCATATAGTGAGTAAACAACTCATACAGGGTTTCCTCCAGTTTGGGCATTGCAGCTTCGGATTCAGGTCAGCAGGAACTCAGGGTCTCGAGACTGCGTGGTCCTTCAGAGAGAGAGCTTTTGGAAGCCATGTCTGCGTAACAATCTCCAAAACGGTAGCCCGAAATGGGCGTTTGCGGAAACTCCGCAAGCCTGTCACTCGTAGCAGGGCGACATGTGCATCTTGGGAGGGAGGATGTGGTGTGATGCGATTGTATGGCAAGCTACCGAGCTTTTCGGAGTGTTCTTCAGATCTACCTGCTCCGGCAGGAGCCGGAGCGCCGCCTAGCCGCAGGGCAAGTCCTACAGAAGGCAGCCCCACACATCTCTGGTTTTGTTTCTGTGCTTGTATGTCAGCTATTAACCGTTCTCATTCATTCATTCGCAGCTATCCCGTGAGTTCACGAAAGCTGAGTCATATTGACCGTTCTACGTCAGTGCATGCGATCTTTGAAGGTGTTGCCGCCACGTTGCGTTGCGCGGGAAGTGAAGCCAATCTGAATCGCATCTTGCGAATAGTTAATAGGTGACTTTAGTATGTTGCTTTTGTTTCGTTGTTGTCATAACTATGGCACTTGTCCATGATGGTGTTATGTTTGACTTACGGGGGTACTGCCGACAATCATCATCCGGGCCTCGTCCGGGTGAAGACAATCATGAAGATGATGACGAAGGCCATGACTTCGATGCACGTAATGGTGATGCGTCGATGACGTTGGGGGTGCCAGTAATGATCAAGACGGAGTTTGCGGTCGAAGTGGCGGCATGGACTGTGGTGATGGCGATATCATCTCGAAGGTTATGATGTTCGTGGTAATGATTCGGACGACGACCGGGACGGCAAAGAACACGATCTTGAATCGGAAAATGGACAAGGCAGTGGTCATGATGGTTATGATGGTGATGCGGTGATGTAGTTGTGATTGTTGATGTCGTGGCTGTTGCGGTTTCCGCTGCTGCAGTTCTTCTTCTTGTTTTTACTGTTGATGATGGTGGTGATGGTACTGTGAGTTAATGGCAGTGCAGACGACAATGGACAGGACATGTCGTAAGAATGTCAAGCAGAGTCAACACTGAGATCCAGATTGTGTTCATGAGCAAATCACCAAGCTGCTTCCAGTGCGCGACTGCTCCAAGAACGGCTCAACCCGTGTTGGTTCGACAGAAGAGTTTGTCGCTGCATTGACAGTTCCAAGATTCAGAGTGAGTGTGTATCTGAACTTTGATGCTAGCATAATTCCATGCAGTTCCTGACGTTGAAGTCTCGCTGGGATGCGCCATCAGGTTGCCCTCGACATGAAGATGAAAGGCGAGGGCATCCTCAAGGTGGGCTTGCAGGGATTGCGGGTTGGCAGATGTATAGTACAAGGGATGTAAAGTGCCACACGGTGTGAGTCTGGCATCTGGAAACTACGATGCACCTGAGCAGATCCTGGCTGACTGCAAAGTCGCGAAGACCCTGGTGATTGCAACTCGCTGACGAGGCTAAGTCCACAGAGTTGGAGATCCTCATGAAGAAGTCAGGGCAGATGCTGTCGAAAGCGGTGGCTCAGCAGCGTCTACCGCCCACTTTGCATGTAATCACAAACAGCTCGTTCGACGGCATTGCAGCGGGAACGGACATGGCGAGGCATGCCAGCAACATGCAGATAGGGGCGATCCCGATCCCTGTGGCTTCTCTCCTCTGAGGCGGAGAGTGCAATCGCTGCGGGCCAGCTTGAGACTGCGACCCAGGTTGTGGCTTGCAGCATCAGCTTTTGCATCAAATCCCGGATGGCCGAGTCACGAGTCCTAGAGTCCTATACAGCAGAGCAGCAGTCCTTCCTGGTAGGCTCTGCTCGCAAAAGCTCGTGCCTGAGAGGGTCCTGTGCTTGCGAGTTGGTGATGTCGCCTTCATACCGCAACAAGTCTTCCTTGGTTCGAAGATCCTGCGGAGGCCCGCATCCCTGGGAGCAACAAGGAGCAGGACTGCGTGCAGGCAGCCACGGCATAAAGATTTTGACTTTGATTCTACCAGGTCGTTTACGAGTTGAGTTTCTGGGCAATGCTGTCGCGACGAGTGAATAATCAGAGCAGCAAGTGTGTGGTCACAAATGATGTTTCCGCCATGCGATTGCGCAGCGATTGATGTGACCATGAGTATCCATAGCACTGCGATGTCTATATAGACGAAGTAAACCACGTTATCTCTCCAGAAACTGAATCGGTCCGAAAAAGCGAAGGCCATCGAACTCCTCAAAAAGCAGTATGGCGAGAGTGTGCATCTCAGCCGTTCTCTTCGACGAGGGCAAAAAATGGCCCTGAAGCCTTGGCTCCAACGATTCTCTCAGGTCACCCACAGACTCAGAACGCCAAGACCGTCGCAATAGGCCTGGGCGTGCGGGCCTCGGGACAGCGTTCACAAATACCCTGGCTGTGTGTGTGTACAACACGCCTGAAACTGGAAGGTTGAGAAACCTTCATAATACTGGCTCTAGCCACTTTCGCCTGTGTGCGCACGCATGTGTGTGTGTGTGTGTTTATCGTGGAAAACCATCTGCCACTGTATGGGTCAACGATATGTCGCAAAAGATGCAGTCATGGTATTAAGATAGTGTTCCGTTTGAGGCCAACAAACGGCAATACGGTACAGATTCTTGCAACAACATGAAACAACCGATTCATCGTGGATGCATGTCGTGGAGCGTCGTAAGATGTCGTAAGAAGGCATGAGTACACGTAGGGGAAATTAGGTTGTCTGTCTGAAAACAAACCGAAACTGAAATGGAACTCGTTTTCCAAAAGTAGGTCGAACTCCACGAATCTGGGGTCGTCGCTTGGAGACTTCCACCATTTGGAGCCTATTTGAGAATGTCTCGGGCTGGCCGGTAAAAAACGATTATCAACATTGCGGCTCGTTGTGTGACTTGTCACTGACTAGTCGCGCACATTTCCGTCACAGCATCAGGTACACGTATGATGTGGTTGGACGATGGACGATTGTCCCCTGACTGCGGCAACCTGAGGAAGATCTTTAGGCTGCCCCAAGTTCGTGACACAGGCGCAGCGCCTTTCAAGAAACATATGATTTATGCTTTCAGTGCGAAAAGGCGAACAGTTGGACATTCTATTCTGGAAAGGTTTTGTGCCACCGGAGGCAGCGGTGGCCAAAGGTGCCAAACGCAACTCCCGGCTAATGAATATGCTTGCAGCAGTGAGCCTGGGCTTTCGAGCCAATCATTATCGTCTTGTGTTAGGTGGTTTCCCCTGCCCCCTTCTCCATACCCATATTCCCCCATGACACCATGCCCTGGGTGGGGGGGGGAACGTACCGACACCGTGAGGGTTGTCATTTCGAGACCAGCGTGAGGCCAACGCATCGAAATTCACCTCCCACCCCGGTTGTAGCCTGGCTACCCAGTATAAGTTCCCACGCTCGCAGACGCTGCTGCAATCAGTATGGCTTGTGCGACATGCCTGCGTGTTGCTTCTCCACTCACGGCTGCACAGGAAAAGCAGTCGCCCGTACAATCGATCTCACTAGGTTCTGTCGAGTTTCTGTCGTGCGAGTGCGTCCAGGAAGACCGTGGCATCTTGAATCTTGCCCTAGCCTCAAGCCCTGCGCACTGCAGCTCCCACTGCCTAGCAGTTCAAAGCCATGGGAAAGACGGCGAAGAAAGGCGAGAAGAGCTCCAAGTCCAAGGACACCGCCGTCCACAACTAAAGGTTTCGAGGAACCCCCTTCCGCTTAATGCGACAGTCGGCTGGGTAGAGATTGACGGTCGTTGCGGTTGTAACGCCCTAAGTAGAAGTAGAAGCATGCTAGCTCTGACCGGTTGCTTTCTTGGGCATTGTCCCTGCCAGAGTCCGCTGTGTAAGTTTGCCTCCCAAATTCCTCGCGACGCATCCACTCCGTTTGTGTCCTTGCTGTTGGCTTGACAGGAGCCCACCACCCGGGACTGCACCATCCACTTGTTCTTTGGCTGAGCTTTGTAAGTTCCAGCTCGAGGATTACCACAGTCGTCGACATGATGTTTTTGCGTTCGGCCAAGATCTAGAAGTTGCTTGTGAGGTGTGGTGCGATCTAGAAGCTGCTTGTGAGGTGTGATGCAGATCAAGATTCGTGTAGGCAGACCCAGAACGATTCACGATGCCATGAGTCTCTGAGGGTTTGACTGCAGTTTCGACTTGTTATAAAGGTTTGCGCGTAATTATTCGTCGTAAGTCATCATGTCTTCATGCAGCCAAGATCTTCAGCTGCGAACTCAAACGCTTTCCAGGCACAAGCACATGCAGAAGATCTCCTTCAAGAAGAGGGCTCCTCGTGCAGTCCGGGTGGTGCTGGCCTCGGAGCACTTGCGTGCATCGTCCAAGCCTAGCTCATGCCACCACAAATCGGTGGCTCCATTCTGAGGTTCGCCAGTTCGCGAGCAAGGTCATGCTTACAAAGGATGTTCGAATCGAGCCTTGAGCGCAATTTTAGAAGAATAGAGTCGGTTGAGTTGGGGGTCTAGGGTTTATAGGGCTAGCAGCATTTGTTAAACGGATGACTGCCCTAGCGCATCGGGCCCGCGCCGCTTGTGCAACTATGCCCGTGCTCCCTGCCGTGGTTGGTGTGGATGCTCAACAGATGTCTCACTGCCCGTGTGCCAGCACTGATCCTCCTTCCAGACACGATTCCCAAGAGTATGTGTGCGTGCATCTTTCCATATCTTTCCTATTCCATTCTGTGGTGTTTTCTAGTTTCCTGAGGCGAGAGCATAACATATGGCGTCATGCTGTGTCGAGGCATCCAGAGGTTTTGATCGCAATTCCACACAACGACTCAGGACACCAAGCTGAACAAGTTCCTGTGGAGCAACGGCGTCCGCAACGTCCCCCGCCGCGTTCGCGTGCGCCTGTCCCGCAAGCGCAGCGAGGACGAGGAGGCCAAGGACTGAACACAGAGGGAGAGTCACACTCAAACCTCAAGACATCCTCCAGACTATTTATGCGAACTTCTCGTCAGTGAGTCATGATGCTCAATACGTCCGTTTCCCACCGAGCCGGATCGCTGCCCAAGGAAGGTGATAAAGGTCAGTCGCGAGATCTCTTTCTTGATGCCCTCTGCGGTGGGCGCATTTGAAGCAGACCCGGCTTTCGGCTTGCTTGGGGGTGAAGTGGTTCCCCTGGCAACAGCATGAGGAGAAGATGTTCACCTTGGTCCAGCACGTGCCTGTCGAGAGCTTCAAGGGGCTCCAAACGGAAAACGTCCGGGATGAGTGAAGCATGTGAAGCAGCAGGCCTGCACATGCAGGAACCCGTTGTTGATGTTGAGCTGAGTTTTGTCTTCAAAGGTTTGAACTTTTGAGGGGCCTGGTTATTGGAGAAGAGGGGTTATAAGACGTCGTAATGGCTGCGAGCATACGCAGTAGGTCTCGTACCGGACTTTGGATCTGCGTTGCTGTGCGTACCTGTTTTTCAGGGCAGCGGGACACCAGAAACACACGCTGTAAATTGCATGCTGTCGCAGGCAGACCTGGCCTGAGCGAGTGTGAGAGGGCAGTGGGTAGACGGCAGAAGAAAAATCGCAATCTTTGCATTATCGCATATAGCATTTGAGATTTGAGATTGCGGATTGCTGCTTTCATATTCAAGCTGATTGTCTGCGCTGATCTTGTTCACGCAACCTGCAAACCTCTGCCTCGTCAGGGATAAGCAGAGCCTCACCGCGCAGCTTGACGTGCCCCGCGCATTCGGTTCAAGACCCACTCGGGTCAGACTAACATGAAGTAAGGAGTTCTGGGGCTGTCCCCCGACATGTCAAGGTTGCTTGGAACACGAGTCAACGAAGCCTGCAGAAAAAAGCATTACAGGCGAGGCTCGCAAAATCATCAGGACCTCCAGATCCTTGTGAGGGTTCATTGCGTAGTCAACTTCAAACTGAAATGCAAAAAGCAGGAGAGTGGAACTGTAATGCCTCTCAGCTAGAAGCTTGGCCCTCGACAGAGTCTCCTCACTCTGCTGGTGTTCTTGCCAGCGATTCTGCGGTGTTGGGCACGATCCGATTTCCTTCGAAAGTGGCGTTGGTTTGCGCCAGGTTGTTTGCTTAAGCTCATAAATCCCGAGCGCAACTCCAACATTTAGATGTTGTAGCTGCTTCTTCTTCTTGTTTTCGTCATTCGGTTCTGCCCTATCAATCCGGATGATTGCCGATATGATCCTCTCAGTGATTGTGGAGTGAATATAGTGTTGCTATTACAGTTGCCATTGCGGCTGCTGCTGCTCGGGACTGAAGCTCGGGCCTGCGCAATGGATGGCCACCGTGAGAAATCCGTGGATCAGCCAAGTCCTGAGCTGCTTGGGTTGTGGGTTTCAGTTCGATGATACTGAGTTGAGCGGTGATGGTGTTCGTGATCATCTCACCGTCGTCGTCATCATCGCCACCATTGTGGCGTAGTTCGCCATCATCATCATCATCATCATTACTATCGACATCGCCAAGTCCATCGCCATCACCAGTATGCATCCATGAACCCTGCCCGCCCGCCAACCCACACCCACGAACCCACCAATATCCATCCGTCCATCTATCTGTCCAGCCAGCCAGTGGACAGATGGATGGATGGATGGAGCGGATGGAGACAGGGAGGGATGGATAGTCAGAAGGGGTGGGAGGACACTCCCCTTCTCCTTATCAACGCTCTTTACTACAAGAGACATTGCACGATCTCGGGAGTGTTCTCAGGCTTTCGGTCGGCATGCTCGCGTCTCTGATGCAGCTCCAGGCACTCTGCGAGCCTTCCGGAAGCAAAGTTTTGCCCAACGCCCCAATCCAAGAAGGAACTCCGTCGAGAAAACCTGCGTACATCGAAGGCTTCAGGGCTATGTGCACTCAGGCACCAAGCGCCAAGCCAGCGGTGAGAGCTTCAAAGCTGCAGTCTTTGCCCTGACATGTCACAGGGCTGCCGGGGCTACACCCCCATCGACTCTGCCCGCGCCGCAGCCGACCTCCGCGAGCTTCGGGCCGCGACGCCCGCCGCGGAGGCAGAAAACCACGGTAGTAGTAGCACCTCGAAAACTTCGTACGTAGCTCTTAACGGGCAGTGGTGCACAGAAACGGTGCCGCATGTATTTTGCACCTCCTTCAGGGCAGTACTGTTTGCTGACGATTGGGTGGTGGCAGGCATACACTGTGCTTCCTTCCAGCAATTGTACTTTAACATTTGGTGTGGCTGTGCATGGCGTGTTCTCCTTGTCAGTAATGCCTACGATTCAAGCTCCATGCTGCAGGCTCGCCAACAAGTCCGGGAGGATTTGCAAAGCTTTTGGTCAAGGCGCGGAGGCTTTGCTTCGGGTCGGGTCGTGATCCCATAGGAGGACTCATCAAAACAAAAGAGTGTGAACATTTAATCGGATTGCGTTCTGCTTTGGAGGCTGAAGGCTTCCCTCAAATTCCCAGTGCACAGCACGTTGTACTCCACAAACCTCACAACCTCACAGCCCGAAGCCCTCGACCCAAGCCCAGACCCCACGCATTATATGTCCTTGCACTCCTCTGCAGACTTGCATATCCTGAGGTCCATTTTGGGGCCTTCCAGGTCTTATTATGCACTGGTGCCAGGCTCCGTCGCCTGCGCCGCGGACGTCGGTCGGAAGCTTGGGCCGAAGGGCTTTGAGAAGAAAGGTCCGAGCCTCCAAAGCCCTGAGCTACCGGAAGCAAGAGGCTCAGAGTCCTCAAGGCTTGCGCAGCCAGGTCTTCGCATGTCTTCGCCATTACACAGAGCCGGCTTGCACAAGAATTCAGAAACACTGTGAACTGAAGACGAGACTGACTAGCCGCTAGCCCCCTCACATGTACATTGCCCCTACTGTACCTCAAGGTCGAGCCGTCATCGAGACAGTGGCAGTCGTGGCAGTCGAAGCCGCTCGGATACTCGCCGTGAGAAGCGTCGTCCGGGGCCCAGCTGCATGGGCTCCGGAAGTGATCGTTTCCACGAGCCAAGTTTGAGGTACCGAGGGGGGGGAGCGAGAGACGTACATTGTTCGGTTGTCCAGAGGATTCATGCAGTTGGTGCGGCTTGAATGGCTCGAAGGGTTCGACCGGACAGCGATGTTGTTGAACAGTGGTGGCTCAGTGGTAGTGAGAATAGTTGTTGGCGATGGTAGCTGCCAAAACGTGAACATGCATCACAAAGCTTCGAGCCTCAAGAGCTGAGAGACTTGGCAGTCGGCGCGCACACAAAAACTCAAGTTTGCCTGGGCATTTTTTGCGGATGCCATGCCCCAAGATGTCACTCCAGCCTCAGAGCACCCGGGAGGAGGCTCCTTAGGCTCCTTGCTCTCTGGAAAGGTCGACGTCGCCGGCGTGCGGAGCGCAAAGGCAGACCGGCCTTGCTCTCACCACGCCTCCGAAGAGCATCGCAATCTCCGAGTCCCAAGTGCTGTTCGCAGGCTCCTCCAGGTCCAGCGCGAGCCCGCCAGGCATTGCACAGCGAAGCCGCGCAGAACCCCGGTCTGAAGTCGACCTCCCATGACTCCAAGCATTAAGCCTGAGTAAGCCCAAAGCCGCAGAAGAAACTGAGATCTTTTAAACCCGACATCACTCACCTTGCTCATTGAACCGTGTACATCTTTTGGCATGCGTCAACCATGACAAGTGTTTAACTTGGCCCAGAAGCACAATGAAGTACGTGGAATGATGGACAGCACTCGTGACCTGGCTCAGTTCAGTCAGGAACTACAGAACCGTGGACTCGTATTGTCGCGGCTTCCTTTATGCAGGCTGAGCCCGGCCGTGCTGAAACAAGTTTCACGCACTGTCAATTGAAGCGTCCCCGGCAGGCCATCGGCATGGACGTGAAAGCAGTGAGAGCATATCGCGGCGAAGCGCTTCGCACAGCCCTAAAAAGCGTTAAGGTAGAATCTGTGAACTTCTGAAGCCGAGAATAGTCACACGCCGGTGCCTCACTTCTTCGACATGTTCGTCCGTGAGGTGTGCACAGCTGCTTTGCAGACAGCCTTGTTTGCTCAAAGCAAAGTGAAAATCTGTGCTCCGCAGAGCAGACGTACGAAACCCTAACTGCTTTCTTCCAAGACATGCGAAGCTGTTCACACCCGAGATAGTTTAAGCAGTTTCTGTGCCGTGTGCCATTTAGTGTGTAGCCATGGACTGGAAGCGACGTCGCACACTTGCGACAGGTCAGGTCAAGAGGCTTGCCAGCCGAGCCCCAAGTCTGTGGACACACTTGGATATTGAAACTCTCGGGTTTGCGTGTTGCATGGAGCCTCCCTCACGTCCCCTGTTCTGAAAGCAGTTTGGCATCTGAGCCTCTCACAGCGAAGCTTCGATGATGGTCTTGCCTGCTGCGCACGTCTTGTAGCAGCTATCTTTTCGCGCCGATGTTTGCAGGGGCTACTTGTAGGGTTCGGTGTAGCTTGAACGTGGTAGAAGGCCTCGCTGCTTGCAAGCTATGCCAGTTGCACATCCGCCGGAACCAGATACAAGCCTTCGGACTTTGTCTGGCTGGAATCCAGCACGGTTCTTCTCAACAATGCGCTGCTCAATTGAGCCTACTGGCAAAGGTAAGTGAATAATCACGATGCCGAGAACAATGACAGCAATCATGGTTGCGATGTCGAACAACTGTATGCTGAACTGTATCAGCAGCTACGACAGACCTCGATGTCTTGCTAAGTCGTGGGTGGCACGCACGGCAATGAGACGAACGGCGTGCACCTGGCAAAGCATTTTCTCAGGACCAAGTCTCAAGAAGGGGTTTGGGTTTTGGTTCGGGTCCACGGTTTGCTTGTTTCTGCGCGGCCCGGATTCGCTTTGAATGAGCTTATATCTCAAGATAGAAAAGGCTCGCAAGATATCACTCTGTTAACTTTTTAGTTTGTGGGCCCGATTGTTGCATCGCAACAGCAATGGGTTTGTTTTGTTTTCTGCTGAGCCGTCCTCGCTCCGTCAGTGCTTTAGGGCTTTGTCAGCATCTGCAGGAACCCCTCCTTGGTCAAGCGTGGTTCCTTCGAGACCGAGGCTTGATTGGCAAGTTGTGCCGAACCGAAAAAGCAAACTCCAGACCCTTGCATGTTTACGGGCCAATAAGCAGCTCCACAGCTTGTACCTTGCTTCAGGTCATGCTCTCGAACACTGCCGCAATCAAGCAAAACACCAGATATGTGGAAGAGGACTTGAACAGGCAGGGCATTCGAGGCCTAGGATCAGGAGAAGGCTGTCAGCTGTCATCCAGCACTTGCAGCGCTGTTTGGCCCCCAATTTGCAAGTGCGAAACCCAGCAGACAGCTCCTTGTTAACATGAGGAGCTTGCAGCAAGACCTGCAAAATTTTTGTAACTGCCGCAGATCCTGCTTCTAGCATTTACCCGGGCCTCGTCGCTGTCTCTCGCTGCTGCATTGAAAGCATCACTAGTCACTAGCCGTCCTAGTGATGTCGGGATCTTTGCATCAGCATATTCCGTGCAGACACAGTAGCGAAGCTTTGTCACGGAGATGCTCGTGCATGTGCGGAAAAGATATGTCTGGAGCTATCCAAACCCTAAATGCAGAAATGCCCTGTCTGCTTGCGCGCTCATGATAAACTCAGACCCATTATAGGCAGCCTCCAGCCCGAAGAAAGGTGCTACCTCCTGGCAGACCTTGAAAACGACGAGACCTCCACCTCCAGCCTCGAGCGGAAGCGCGCCCGCGAGGCTGGGACCCCCAAAATGTCATCACCCTTGTCCGCACTCGTGTTCGCATCCTTGCAGTCGTTGTTGCGGTAACGTGATATGTCGGCAAAAGCCAGGTCGTAACTAGCAAGCAGCGAGAAGAATCACAAACACTGGCAGTGGCAGCAGGCCTAGGAGGACAAATTTTCTTATTAATAGTATTATTGTTCTTGTTCTTCTTCTCGTTCCGTTCCTGTTCTTGTTGGTGTTGCTGTTGCTGTCGTATTTTTCTTCGATGATATAGCTGATATACATTAACTTGTTGATGGCTATGCTATAGCAAGAGAGAGAGGCCGAAGATATTTTGGTTTCACGATAGAAATCAACGCCACGGCAGTAGTAGTTGATGATGGTCACAGTGTGGTGTTCAATGTCACGTGGCCTCAGGCCGAACTGTTGAACCCTGGTTAGGGAGCTTCGCAGTCGCAAGGTCAAAAGATGGTCTCTGGCAGTCCTGAACTCCTCAGGAGACCAGGTGTCCGAAAGGTACCGACATGATCTCAAAGGCGGGCATCTCCGTCTCCCATGCACAATAGAGCCTGAATCAACAAACCTCACCCCTCGAACGTGAAGCTAGCCTGAGCTTCCAAACCCTAAACATCCTTGCCGATCAAGATCTTTACGTTAAAGCCTTCCTCGCAGGTGGATGCGCTCCTGGGCCCAAAGAGTTCGGACACGCCGCGCTGTGCACGGGCCTCGGCGTGTTCGGAAAGTTCAGTGGCGGTCTGGGCGTCTCCATAGATACTTACCAGATGCAACTCCCATGCAAGTAGTTTTCTGTCGGAGAGCTCAAGCTTGCAAAGAAGCTGACAGGGGCCTGGATCCTTCTGCTCAGAGGGCGTGATGTCTTGGATTTGGGGCAGGTTTCGAGGATTCTCCAATCCTTAGTGCCTCAGCAAAGTTGCTGAAAAGGACTGCATCATTCGGCATTAGCTGATGTAAAGGGCTGCGTTTATTTCGGGCCGAGGTTAATAGCACAGCCGTCCAAACGGAAGAAGCCATCGATTGCCCTAGGACTTCATTGTTGATCTGCACAACACGACCGCGGCCACGGGTGTGGCCCTGCTCATGGCCCCGGATGATGAGTTGCTCTTCAGCACGTTAGTATTGAGCCAGACCTGGAAGAAGCTGCCCCGACGCAGCCAAGTCGAAAGAATCCCTGAAGCCAGTCTAGAAACGAAGTGCACGACAAGCTCCAGAATGTCGAGCACAGCTTCTTAAACCAGACTCTGCAGCTGCTCTCGTGTTTGAGGAGTCAGCTCTGGGCAAGTATGTGTGCAATATCAGTGATGCCGCGGAGCTGTGATAGTTTCAAGCCTGGCACTAGGAGTCGGCAATCGTCATCTTTCGGTTGCAGAAGTGGCTTTCATGCTGCCTTCTTTGCATAGGCTCTTCTTCTCTGTTGCCCTCCTTACGTGTCAGCACGCAGCAAGGTTTGCACATGAAGTGGGCCACTACCTGAGTACTCTTGATGACTCTGTGAGGGTCGGGGCCTCAACTTTCGTGACACATATTATTATTCATCATCAGCACTGCTTCTGGTTCCATCTCATGTATTGCTTAGTTGTAGTTTCGTCCCTTTGGCTCAGGTCGTAGAGTGGAACGATCAACCGGATTGGGCCCTTTGCCCCTCCGTGGGTCGTAGTGGCCTGACCTTCGAGGCGCCTGCTGAAATGCTTGCAATAGCACCAGTACTGGAAGCACGACGGCCGGAGAAAAAACATGCCAAAGATAGGAATGCCATTTCCGTTACGAGTAGTCGTAGCCGCACTCAGTAACTTCATCATGGTCTTCAATAAACGGCACGTTGTCGTCAATGTTATTGATCTACTGCTCAGTCATACTGTTGAAGGGGTTTCAGTTTAAGTGAGTTGACGTCGGGTGTATCGTTTCAATTGTTTCGTGTGTGCTTCGTTCAGGCCCGTTCAGCCCCAAAGATGATCCCCAAGTCCTTTTTCTTGACGATAAGACAAAGTCCCGCTTGCAGAGTCGGAAGTCTTGGGCCCGACAAGACCTCGCAGGTGGGCCCCTGTCCTTGGGGATGCCTCGAGCCGGAGCTTTTCCAGCGCTCGCGAAGGCTCGTTCGGCCAGGACCACGAAACCCAGCGTCCGCCTGACAACCCCCCAGGCCCTTGTCTTGTGCATCTTGCAATGCAGGCTAGTGCTAGCCTTGCTGGATTACATCGAGAAGCACAACTCGCTGATCGCCCAGGGCAGCTCAAAGAAGGAGAAGGTGAGGTCGCAAGGGAGCTGCTTTTCTGTGCTTGCGAAAGCCTTGCCTCAAAAATCCTACTCCATCTTCGCTTGTGGCTCGTTCCGGTGTAGGTCCGACTCATAAACCAAGATGCAGTGGGTTTGCGATCCTTACGTGCCCTTGACAGCCCGGCAACTATGTGCATGGCGAGATTTATAAGACAGTACAACACGAGCATATGCAGGCCAGGGCTGCTCCTGCCCCAGTCACACGCCTCAGGTCTCCATGCCCGTGTACCGTGCCATCGGCGTCTCGATGGACTATCCGCGTGCCGCCGATGGAGATCCCACCGCGCATGTTCGGACCCCGGAACCCCCAAAACGCTAGATTGCCAGCGAAGACTTATGCGCCCCGGAGCTTTTCTTGTGGTCTTCATGGGCGAGTGTTCGGCAGGAATTTGCGAGACTCAAAGAGCCGGCCCAAACTGAAGGTTTTACGGAACAAAACCTTTCGCTAGGCTGTCAACCTTTCATCCCGAGTGAAGCCTGATGCTGCAGACCCTGTGATCATGAAAGCATGTACTTGTAGTGCTTGATAATGCTGGCATTTGTATGCCGTCATGGGGATCCTAGAGTCCTCGAAGATGCATTCTCTTCGACGGCCAGTCCAAGTTCACGTCAGGACCTTCAGGATTGATGGAACTGCAAGAAGACGTGCCAGCTTCGCAGGACCAAGCTGCAGAAGGGCTTGCTGAGGTAACCGATGCTTCTATCGTGGAAGCTGCACCAGCACTGACTACTGCCGATTTGGGTGATGATGCAGCTGCTGCTGCCACACTCATTCCCGTCGGAGAGGCTAGTGCCGATACACCAACTGGTGGCACCGTTACAGATGCAAATGCCGCCACTGCTTCGGATGTGATGGGTGAGGACACAGACCAAGCCGTGGTGGAGGTGGAGATGGACCCGAGCCCGACTGTTTGCTTTGAAGAGGCTGTGCCGAGCACGCCCACTGCCAAAGAAGAAGACACAGTAGAAGAGCTGGCCCCTTCCCAGGACGTGGAAGCGGAACCACTGGCGAAGAAGAAAGCTGCAAAGAAGAGAAAGGTCTTCCACAAAGCAGGCTCTGCCAAACAGAGTAGCGGCAGCCTGCAGTCTTCCAGAATGAGTCCAGCTGTGCTGGGCAAGCAAGCTGACGCCAGCGTTGCCGCCTCGACTTCTGCTGAAGACTTGAAGCTAACTCCCATCGCCCCTAGCCAGTCTTCTACCCTTGCAGGGCAGCACTTAGCCGGACGGCCGTCGAGTGCCCAGAAATCAGCGGATGGGGCTTCAGCTGTATCACCTTATACTGATGGCGGGACTGCGACGCAAGCTCCTTCTTTGCCTGCACAGCTCCCGTTTCATTTCCACTGGGACGTGTCGTGCGTAAGGCTTGAGAGCGTGCAGCCGCAGCTTCCCACGAACTGGGAACATGCCATTGCGCAAAGGATTGAGAGAGAATGGCGGCGCTGCCGAAAAGAGCAGGAGCAGGCCTGGGTATCCAACGGCAATGTGCCCTTTGAGTTGCAACGACTGGCTTCAAGCTTGGGTGCATCCTCGGATGAATTGTTTGCACGTGTTTGTGAACGAACCCTTTCTGGATGGCATGGCGAAGAAACCGGAAAACCCCGGCCTACGATGCCAATGAAAGTTGTAGCCGTTGATACGATCTGTGGCCAAGCTGTGCAGAAGGAGGATTTGGAAGCATTGTCGGGAAGCAGGGGCGCGGGCAGCCTTTGGTGCAACCTGACGTATGACCTCAGCAGCGATCCACTTCTCCAAGATCTTGACTATGCCAGAAAGAGTGATACTAGTACCACCTTCTCAACCTTGTTGTTTGTGTACGGCTTGGAGGCCACTGATTCTTCGGAGAAGTCCCTTTGCGATGTGCGATGTGCTCGCATAGATCACTTTGATTTTGCCTTGTGTTTCCCACCAGCACCATACCCGACATACAACTTGCCTGTGCCGGAAGTGGATTTTCCGACTCTGCTTGGCCTGGAGTCTGGCTCTGACATATGCATGTCCGATGATTGGATGACCCAAGCACGGGCAGTCTTGACGTGGCTGTTCTGGGACTGCTTCGATGAAATTTTCACGCCCCATGCGACAGAGATAAAGCTTCGCGACAAGCCGGGTCGAACATTGCTTCCATTCGGTGTGCACCGTCGCTTCGACAAGAAGCTGAAAGACTGTGGCGATCGGGCTGAAGCCCTGGGTTGTTTGCTGTCGACGATGCGGCCACAGCCATTTCAGCTGCCTTTCCGCACCACGGTTACCAAGGAGGAAGCAGACGCTCATTGCGAGCAGCACGGGGGGGAGAATGTCTTGCTCGCCGCTGTTGAAGTGGCATTCCAAAAGGCAGCCTGCGAGTATAATGAGACGCTCGGTGGGGAAGGTCTTCCGAAACAGTGGCTCAGAAGCACAGGGCAAGACCTGTGGGATCGGTGGCCATTGCATCTTGAGTCGGGTGATGGCGCGCGTCAGATGTTTCGCGAGGTCAGCTGTATTCCGGCAACCTACAAGCTGCCTTGCGCAAGCAAGAGATTGGCAGTGGTGCACTGCAAAGGCATCATGCGGCTGCCGGAGCTCAGTGGAGATTCTGCGGCCAGGTCAAGAAAGCTTACCCACACGTCCATTTCAGCAGACCTGGCACCCACCAACCAGACTGAAGTTGACGGTGCGGAGCTGGGCGACATAGTCCGCATGGAGATCGAAGACAAAGAAATGGACATGACGCTAGACCTTTCGAGGTGGGAGGATGAAGGTGTCGTGACTGTCGGTGACATCAACATCAACGATCACGTTCTTATCAGTGCCTCAGCTTGCATCAGAAGCTGGCCATTTGTGTGTGTGTGTGTGCGCGTTTGTCCGTGCATGTAGAGACTCACAGTAGACAAACAGATAGTGACAGGCAACCAAACCCAGACGCAGGCACACAGAAGTTTGTTTCTGCCAGCATACATGTCCGCTAGTGAAGTGCAAGCACTTGCAGGCATTCATAAAGTACGAAAAGTTTGTCAGAATATGTGCAAAAAATAGGAGCATGTGTTTGTATTTTGTATGTGTATGGTTGCACTCGCAGATACGTACCCTGTCCATAGCTCCATGTAGGTTCATGCCCATTCACGAATACATGCGAGCCCCGTGAAACACCAAGTTCTTGTGGGCCGTTTAAGCATGTCTGACCATCCACCAACTCGAGTTTTCGTCCCGCATGAACTGCAAGCCAGATGCGACAAATATATTTGTAGTCTGCTTCCGTGGAATGGCACCCCTGCCTCCTAGTCTGAGGAGAGGTCCTTCTGGCGGTTGAGCAAATGGAGACGTGTGCAGAAGTCGCCAACTCAGTTCGTTGGAGGATCGCGAAATGTGCCACCGGTTGTGGCCCACGTACCTCCACGCTTGACCTCAGGTCCTTGACTGTGGGGCGTTGCTGAAGGAGAGCTTGCGGCACCAGCTGTCGCACTTAGCCCACGGTTTGCGGTCCATGCAGAGGGCCTCCCTGAAGACCCAGCTTCGAAGCGTTGGCCTGGCAGTTTTTGAGTCGGAACGCCTGAAGCCTCAGAACACGCTGCGCCCGGCATCCTTGGCATCCCGGGCTCTCAGAGGGATCAAAGGGAAACGTGGACTTCAGCTTCAGAACGCTGTGAAGGCAGGAGCATCTGGCCTTGCGTCTGCAATGGAGATCGATGATCGAGACGGCGAAGATCTTGGGGTGAGCCAGGAAGGGCAGCAGGTCATGCTGCTCTCAGCCCCTGAAGGAATATTGCGAAGGCAGGCCGAAGCACGCAGAATGCTTCGAAGAGTGCTTCCAAATCGCAGCAACGAGTTTCTAGGGGGCTTTACGCCTTCCCAGTTTGATCAAGGAGGGCCTTTGCAGCAGTACTGGTCTGAAACCATGCAAAAGCCGTACCACTACCGACCATATTTCTGCTCGGCAGTTTCTGAGGCCGACCCATCTTCTTTGTTGTCACCTTCTGAAAGAAAATACTTGGTCAAGCGCATGGTAACTGATCCACTGGTGGACACCAAGCTGCCAGACGGAAGAAGCAGCCACACCCCTGGCGGAGCAAACCTAGATCCACGGGAGTTGCGGGCGGATGATATCATCGAAGGTGGCCTTGTGAATCTGCAGAGCTCTGCAGGATTGCTGCAGTTGGCCAATGGCTTCATTTTTCCCTGGAGGGCCAAAGGCTGGAGATACTTCATACCACTTCGCAGATGCGATACGGCACTGGTATTGCGCCATTTTGGCCCCAAGACAGCCAGTTATTTCGAGTTCCTGGAAACCTACAGCAGCTTCCTGTTCATAGCTTCAGTTGCCGGGATTTTGGCAGAGCTTGCGGGCCCCCCAAATGCAGAAGCAGAGTTCGCCTTCTGGAAGATCATCCGGCCCAGCTTTGGTATTTGCATGTGCATTTGGGGCGCCTGCTTTTGCATTTTCTGGCGACGACGTGCCGCCCAGCTCGCTTTCAGCTGGGCAAACGGCTGGATTGAAGAAGGCGACGACCTGAGAAGTTCCAGTACCATCCAAGGCTTGGCACAGGTGCGTCCGGAGTTTGCTAGCCGATGGCGGCAGAACTTTGAAAAAGCTGGGGTGACGAAGCAGGAAGAGACGCTGGACGCACTGCGGGCTGTGCTACGAGCTCCAAGCTCCTCTGTCCACTTTGGCAACCGTGCCTTACGGCACGACATAGCGCATTTCGATGAGACATGCTACCAAGGCAAGTTCGCACAACTGTGGCGGTCCCTGTTTGCCTATGCAGCAAGCGGTTGTTTCATCGTGCTTGCCTGCGGTGCGACGTATGGTACGTTGGCAGCCAACTACGTATTGGGGCTGAGCAACTCAACTCTTGGGTACATGGTCATGGGCTTTACGACGAGCGTCTTCGTTCCACTGCTGAACACCTTACACCACGCCGTTGTCATTTTCACCAACGAGTACCAGCTTTTCCGACAGGACAGCGACAAAGAGCGCGACCTGTTCGATCGGCTCTTTGTTTTTGCTCTGTTCAACACGTACAACAGCCTTCTTTGGATAGCATTCGCCGAGCGCAACATGGAGCAGCTCCGGGTACAGGTCATGTTCATCATGGTGTTCTCTCGAGCGATCGTGAACAACATGCTGGAGTTTTACTGGCTTCTCTGGATGAAGCAGATTCGCGAAGCCGCTGCACACATGCACCCTCGTGATGCAGAGAAAACAATCTGGCGACGAATGCTTGTGGTGCTGACTGGCGACTTCCATGACGAAGTGACGGATGCTGCTCGAAGTCAGCACGGCCCTGAAGGTTGGATGCTCGACCAGCTTGCAGATCAGCTGACACGCGACACGTCTTTTGAGCAGGTGAAAGAGACCATCGAACTTGTAATACAGTATGGTCTCGTAATGATGTTCACTCTCGCATTCCCTTTGACTCCACTAATCGCTTTGATCGACTGCAACATCGAAAAACGTTTGGATGCTTTCAAGATCGTAAGACTCCAGCGCTCGCCTGAGCCTCGGATGGTGGTGGGCCTTGGTCAGCCGTTTCGTGCTTTCGTTTTTGTGACGGCCCTGGGGTTATTGGTCTCCGGGCTCATGCTGTATTTCACCGAGTATGCTGGCGAGAAGTGCACCAGGTGTACGATGTTTGGCAACTGTGGCAGCTGTGGTGGCACGGGCGTAGACTTGATTCTGCCCAATGTCAGCTTGGAGTTGAGACTTTTTCTGCTGTCGGCTGGAGAGCATGTGCTGCTGATTCTCATGTTTATGTTCTTTACGTTTAGCCCTGTTAGCACGCGAGTGCTCCAAGAACAGTATAGGCAAAAGCTTTTTGAAAATCGCTTGCAGCTCGAAGCTGCATCTGAAGGGCAAATGTCCCAGCCCACGGTACCGCGACGGTCCCGCAAAGACACACAAGACACATCTATCAGCGCAGACCACCTGTAGCTGAATGCTGGTTGTGGAGAGCTTCTCTCGCAGATCGCAGATGTAAATGTTTCCGCGACTTGCAAGCACGAACGAGTGACTCGTCGTGCGGCAAGCACTGCGAAGGTAGACCCAGCTCCTCGAGAGACTTGGCTTCGAACCCAAGCAGTACCGCGACTTAGGCAGGCCTGCCAAACCAAATCTCTCGACTCGAGGTTTGCTGATTGCTGCGTAGCAGGTGCATTCGGCCGTACTGCAGAACTCAAAAGTTGCACCAACTGCAGCACTACTGCATCATGAACGCCACCGAGGTTAATGTGTGGCGGCCATACAAGTACATGCGCTCTCAAAACCGATAAGGCCATGACAAGTTTCGGGGACACGCACCAAATCCTTCCGTTCGGAGCTTTCTGTTCTGGGATTGATGCACTCTTTGTTCCGCGTGGGGGTCCTGGAGGAAGGCCTCGGAGGCCGATCAACCGCGACGTTCGTGGAGGGAGGTTTACGCAGAGGAGTGTGGGGCAGAGCTTATCCGTCTCCTGGCCTTCTCGAGTCAGAGCTAAAATTGTCCTGTTTGGGGTAAGCTTGGGATTACGACTTGACCGTTCAGGATCGCTGACCCTAAACCCTCTGCCTCGAAATTCGAACCCTTCTGAACTGTTCCATGTTCGGGGGTTGGCAACCCCCGAAACCCAAGCTGGGAGTGAGGTCCAGTCCAGACATCCCAAATGGCCAAAATTACCCTCAACCCCAACTCCCACCTAAGATCCTCAGCCAGCGTTCCAGCAGCAACTACTCACTTGAAAAAGGCTTGCAGCTTGAGAGCCTTGACCCGCAAAGGTCCACCCGTCCCTGCAAGGGCAGGACTTCAAGGAGCTCCGAGATGGCCAGGGGCTGAATTTGTCAATGTTGCTGTCGTTGCTGATGATGGTGTTGTGGTCGTCGGGGGGGCATGCCGACAAGTACTGTGGGTTGTATCATCTTCTTCAGTAGGTGCTAGGTCCGAGAGCGAACGCACGGCTAGCAAAGAATTCTGGAAGCCCACGGGTGTCCGTAGGCACTAGCGCCAGCCTCTGCGTACTACTACTACTACTACTACTACTACTACTACTACTACTACTACTACTACTACTACTACTACTGCTACTGCTACTGCTACTGCTACTGCTACTGCTACTGCTACTACTACTACTACTACTCCTCCTAATGCTACTGCTACTGCTACTGCTACTACATTGTGCAGGGAACCGAGAACCGGTAATAGTGCTTGTCATCTTGGTCGTCTTTGTCAGAGGACTAATTTGGGGGGCACGATGATGCGTCAGCTTGATCATCTTGCTCGCGTAGTGCAAGTGCTAGTGGGCGGGCAAGTTGGCGCGTCATCTTGGTCATCTAGCTCGGTTTGAGGATGATCCGTCAACTACGTAATCTTATTCATCTTGAGCACACTCATACCGCCTGTAGCAATTTCGGTGGTCCTGCCCGAAATGGCTCACTATCACGCCAATTGGCAATTTGCGGGTTAATCAATCCGCCAAGCTCTAAAATTGAACTTTGCAGAGGCCCAAGCTGGTGGAGCGCGCATTGGTCAAGTGTTTAGTGTTTAGGGGTATTACAAGGGCTGAGGGTTTTAGGGTGTACGGTTTCGGGATTTAGGGTTTGGAGTTTAGGGTCACGTGTGCCTGGCGTGCGCATCGGTCTAGGGTTTTCGGGTTTAGGTTTACGACTAGCGAGGGCCAGTACAGTATTTGGCCTTGTATTCTCATTTTGAGATAGCCCCATCCTGCGGGAAACCATTTCATAAGCGTTATAAACGGTTAACGTTGAATCATCTTAGTCATATTTCGATGTGCGAGTCTGCATGTGAGTTTTTCTCCTGTCGAGAGAACCACAGACGATTAAGAAGCAACAAGTTTCTTCTCCGCTTGCATCAACCTACTGAAGATATACCGCAACGTCAATCGACGTTTGATGGATCTCTATGCTGAGCTGTACTCAGATCTCTAGTTCCATCGAAGCAAAAGCGTTTTGTCTCATTCAGGCCTCACTTATCTTCTGAATGAAGAACTTGTTGTGACACGGAGGAAGCAGTTCCGCACCACAAAAAACTAGAATTTGTCGTTGATTTTGGACAGCAAGTCTGATAAGCTGCTGAACAGGATGTAGGATAAACATGCATAGAGAAGGTTTAGCATTTGCGCAGCAGGCGCGCGCAGCAGTTTAGGGTTTAGGGACGTGCCCGACGCACACATCGGTTTAGGGTTCAGGGTCGAGGGCAAGGCTTTCTCGGATTTAAGGGTTACGCGCGTCCGGAGCGCGCATCGGTTTAGTAAAATTAGGGTTTGGGTTTTAGGCCAGTCCTACGGGGGAAAACCCACGACCATTTGCCATTTGGGGTCTCAGAAATTCCGCAAAATAGGTCTTAATCAAACTCAAAATGCGCCATTCTGGGGTGCCCCAAGCACGCAATATAGGCCTAACACATCCTACTTTTGCAATTTTCGTGGTGCTTGCAGAGGCTTGCAGTGGTACAAGTGGAACGAGTGGTGCAAGGGCGCAAGTCGTGCAAGTGGTACGAGTGGTGCCAGTGGAGGGATTGGTGCAAGTGGTCAAGATGACCAAGACGACCCTCCCGACCACACTGCTGCTTCTGCTCCTAGCTCCTGCTACTGCTGCTACTGCTACTGCTACTTCCACTGCTACAGCCTCTGCCACTGCTACGACGACGACGACGACTGCCACCGACACTGCTACTACGGTGACTATGGCTGCACTGCTAGTAACTGCCAGTACTTCTACTACTGCTCTCGCTACTGCTGGCTAATGTTTCCACCACCATTGTCGCAGGTATTCTCGCGGCTATTCTGCGAAGCACCGTTGTTTTGCGGTGGAACAGCGTGTTGCTCCCCCATCACCTTAATGGGGCCAGCCATTCAAGCCTTCAAAAAAGGGAACTGCATTTAAGGCACACGACACGAATCCACACCGCAAACGAAACATCGAAGCTTACGGTCGCTGGTCGCCAGTCTGAGTCTGGCCTGCTACGTACTTTGGTTTGGCGAGGTGACCCTTTGTTTATGACCTTCGACGGTGATGTGCAAGCATTCGATCGAAAGGAGCGGAAGGCCGGCCCAAAGAAAAAACTAGGGAAGCAGTTGCTGGCTTAGCTCTGCTTGCGCTTTAGATGGCTCTTGGTTTCAGGTGCTCAGCGCCTTGGAAGACAGCAGAGAGCTAAAGTCGTGCCAATAGCGAATTGGTCTCTGCATCTCTGAAGCCTGGGACTGTACCCGGTGAACGAAGGGGATATTGTCGACTCACTTTGTTCGCTCGTGGAACAGGTGCCGGAGAAGTATGAGTCTGTTTTTGCCCTCTTCGTGAACGAAGCAGCCTACTATGAGAAGAAGGCCACTAGAGCTGGTGCATGAGAAGCAATTGCTGCAGGATTACCGGGCTGGTTGGCTTCGATTCAAGTTTCCGAAAGCAACAGCCAAGGGACCAAGGGGTCAAGAAGGGGACTCTTCATATAGCGGCCTAAATAATTACCAATACTATTCTGGGGGTTCCTCCCTATAGTTAGAGCATAATGGGCCCCTATTCTTATAATATTATCAAGGCCCCTACAGCAACCGAAAAAGCAGCCAACTCTGAGTCCTGCGTTCTGACAGACGGCGCTGATGCTGGTGAGCCGAGCGGAGGCCTCCTTCTCGAAAGTAGTGTGAGCCTGAAGCCATGGGCTAAGAGAGTTCTTCAAGCATCTTCAAAGGTCGAGGCTTATGGATTCACTGTTGAGCCCCATCAGACTGGAGAGGATTGACTTCGGCGCATCTTCTCTGGTATACAGTTCAGTCGGACGCGCGTTTTAGACGCCTGGGGAGCTCACACAGCCCTGTTTCCCAGCATGGAGCTTCAACTTCCGCCCTGCCTTGGTCAGCGCTCGAAGTGGATTTAGGAAAAGTTGCAGCTCCATTTCTGGAGTATCGGTTTCGATATGCAGAAAGACCAAGTATGTACATAGCCGTCATCCGTGTAGGTATGACGGACAGAGCAAAGCGCCCGCGACAAAAGGAGCTCTTCACATGTTGCTTGGTGAGCCTTCCAGGTTCGAACAGACGGGTGCGGATTTCCCCTTTAGAGTACCAACGCAATGCAGGTGGTTCCGAAGAGGCGTTTTCATGCATTCATTGCGTGCATGATCTTCTGGATTGGACTCTGCAGCCATGCCATCAGAGTCCAGTGAGCGCACAAGGCCGGGAAGGACCTGCGCCCGAAAGTTGAAAGTTGCCGGCGACAGATTCAATCCTGCCCTCAAAATCAGCCGCTACATCTCAAACCTACCAGCAACAAATCGCGCCGAAAATCCACGTGCCTCCGTTTTCTACAGACCCCTGCTTTCCAAGCTCCAAGCATCATGTCGGCTGACTTGCATGTACCAGTATAATTGCAAGGAATGTTTCGGCTAGGCCAAGGCATTTCGCGTATAGGCTCTTTGCTTCCGGGGCAGGCTGCTCTTGGCAGGCTTCGGGATTCAGGCGCCGATGGCGGAAGAGAGCAGCGAAGCGGAGATGCACGTTCTGAAGGCCCTGGCCTTTGGTAAAATCTCAAATCCCGAATGCTGGAGTGCCGAGACACCCGCACTCCGCTAAATCCCTTTAGCAATTCTGGGGCTTGGCGCGGGTGCACCTTTCGAGTTTGATCCCCATGTGCTCATAGGCTTGGGCGAGGTTCATGAGTTTATGCCACGGACAGACCGACAGACCTGTTGATCCTTGGAAATGTAGACTGCGATATCACGATTCTACACAAGAGTCTGCTCTTTGTTGAAGAACTGTGACCACGGAACTCGTCAGGGTCGGTCTCATAGACGATCTTTGCATCAGCTCCCGGATCTGCATCCCCTTTCATGTGATGCACGGGCCAGGTGGAATTCTCCGATGCACTGCTGATTACACTGGCTGCGATACTGCTTTTTCGGTCGTTGAGACGAGCTTGGATGTCACGACCTTCGTTGAAGGAGAAGGGCCATTGAAGCGTAGCTGTTGTGCAAGACCTTCCGTGCACTGCATCTCGGTGGGCGCCGGCAGCAGTTCAGAGCAGGAGGAGTGAGTTCATCCGCAAGCGCAGCCACGAGCAACCGCTGCAGATCAAGGCCGTGAGGAACATGATACGACTGGGCACTCGGTGGAGGACGAGTTCGGCGGTCGCCTGGGCAAGCAAGGTTCAACAGCTACGTCTGGTTTTCACGATGCTCCGATATCAGCTTGATAAGACGAGCCCAACAGTCGAAAGTAAGCATAGGCTTCGTGGCCGGCTCAAGTCAAACCAACAACAAGCTTGATCAATGTCAAAATGCAGCGAGTCGAGCTTTTGGTTAACAGCCGCAGATTGCCACAGCAAGCAGGAAGACCGAAGTAGCAGAATACCTTGAAGCCCCGCTTCCTGAAATCTCAGCATCCCAGGCTGCGGTCAACACGAGGGCTCAGCCCGTGCACCGCCCGTGAAGCAGGCCAAACAGGCTGAGCTGGAGGCTGGAAGTCGTAGATTACCAGAGAGCCTCGCAGAAAAGAAGTGCAGGAGATGACCGCAATGGGTGTCAGAGGTTAGTGTCTTCGGGGGATGGGTGCGATCTTTGTAATTAAATACTCTTTGGACACCAACTCTCCGAACCACTTTTCTAGATGCATTCTCTCGAAGCCTACAGTTGTCAACATCTGGATTTCGGCGGTTGGCAAAGGCCTGGACTCGCGCATTCAAAGTCTCGGCTTGTGCCGCCGCAGCTTTTTCCAGAGTTGCATCTAGACTCTAACTTTTCGCGGAGGGCCTGAGCAGATGGCTCTAAGGGCTGCCATGCCCTGCCTGAGATCCTCGGCAGCATTGGGAGGCCGTGGAAATTGGCCCTAAACTGTAAGGTTGCCACGAGCCTCAAGACACGGAGATCTCGGTGTCTAGGCAACTGCCAACCCGACACCTCAGTAGAACTCGTGATGACATCATGATGTTTTCACCAGTTCGAAGTGGGTTGTTGTCAAAATTAGGTCCCTTTTTGGGCCCCTATTATAATACGACACCTAATATTTAGATTGCCCAAAGAGGGACCATAATTTCGACAACTACCCAAGTGAGACTTTCGTCTGATTTTGTGGTGTTCTGGCCTGCAGAACATGGAGCTCCAAATCGCTGCAAGTGCTTGTCTGGACCGAGGGCACGGCGCACTCTTCGCCCGCACCATCCCTGTCATGCGGCAGAGGCCTGACTTTTATAGGTTTCTGCTTGGCTCAGCTCTGCAGTCGACGCAATCCACAGCCCTGAGGGCAGCACTGGCTCCATTCCGATGGCGCCCGAGGTATGCGAGCTCTCAGGACGGATGGGTCCCCTAGACAGACTTCACATGGTTCTTGGGCATCTGACTGCTGATGCTAGAATCTTGTTCATGTCTGAAGTTCGGCACGACACTCACATGTTGCAATCCGCATGTGTTCTGCGTTTTCCCATGCAGCACGACGGGAGGCAGCGACTGCAGAGAGGCGGGGCACCACATCCCAAATGTAAAATCTGCTGACCTGATTGTAACTTCCGGAATACGCCGCAGTTCCGTCGACACCGCATATGGTGGGCATGCCCACCGCTTCTTTTGTGCAGTCCAAGCGGTTTGTTCTCTGGTGTGCCTGCAAGCATCGCTTACCATTCCTGACTGCAACACATTAACGGCCAGGTGCTAGACCTCGGGCCCTGGCCTGAACCTACCCGAAATCCGACTCAAGTCTCCCACGCCCCACGTTCCTGAGCCCTGCACCCTACACGAAAGCCAGGGACTCCATGGAGGACACCGTGAGTGAACAGCGCCAGGCTTTTCAGCTCCTGAGAGTTCTGAGAGTTCTTTCGCAGATCCTTTCGGCCTGGTTTCGTTATTCTGGCTCCATGGAGCTCGCAGGTGTTGTGCACTGAGGTTTCGTTTACGGTTTTTCGAGATCATGGTCGACAGTTCAAGGTCTTTTGGCGACCGAGTAGGATTCTAGCGGCGAAGGGTCCCCACCACAGTCGTCAATGCCAGAAGTTCAGACTTGGATGGCCATCCTTTGGAGAAGCAGCAGAGAGAAGGGTGCACAAGAAATTGCAGGTGCTCTTCCCGAATGCAAAGAAATTGGAAGAGGCCTACCAGCAGCAGGACGCCACGAATGCTCAGTACTGTTGGACAGACTTAGCAAAGTCAAGCTTCACGGCACGGAAGCCAGTGGGTGATTGCCCTGCTTTTCTGCGGGGATAGCTGCAAGCCCCCTGTGTGCATGCTACCTTGCAAAAAGAAATGACTATTGCCCTTATTACTACTGCTCATACTACGACCATGATTATTGACTATCAGTGCTTGCTATTCGAACTAACGTTGCCACTATTGTGAGCCGCTCAAAGCAGGACCTCCAAAGAGGCGTCGCGGTGCCGCCCGAGCAGTGGTCACCGAGGCGGATAGATAATAGAAAGTTAGAACAAAAATACCAATATAGGTATAATAGTGACGATTATAGTAATAACAACAGTAAGAACAAAAGCAACTCACATCAGCAGTATTGGTACCAGTATAAGAGTAAGAGTACGAGTAAAAGCAAGAGTAACAGTAGTTAGAAGGAAAATATTAATGAAAGCAAGGGGGCTCTGCTTTATCGAGCAATGCTTTCATTGCAGGCGAGTGCCCTACAAGACCTACGAAAAGGATGCGGCACCTGACGATAGCGATGAGGAGGAAGAGGAGACTGCCAGACTCATGATGCTACAAGATTGCATGACGACCAAGACCGTGCATGTAATGCATGCTCTTTGGGACACAGTCGCAGAAGAAGCGGAGCGGCTGAGAACATCTGGCCTTCCTCACACGGGGAAGTTTACAGCAGGATCCCGTTCAACAGCGACTGCTGCCGCCTCTTTTAAATTTACTCCCGCTACCATTCATCTGCGTATGCCTCTTTGTCGAGGAGGGGATTGCGCTCGCTGGTCACTCAGCTTTCGATGCAAACGTGCACACAAAGATGCGCTGCGTATGTCTTTGCAGCGGTTCCGTGTACTATAGGGGCCTGAATAATTAGAACAGGGTTTGGTGGCATGTTGTACTGTAATTACAATAAGGACCCCCAAAACCATATTCTACTTATTAGTGCCCCTACATTATGTGGGCCTTCTCCGAACCCATGATCTGCAGGCCAAAGAGGCAGAGGTGGAGGGATTGGAAGTCGGAATGGAGGAGGCCATGCGCACCATCGACAGTTTCTATAGCAGTTTTTTCGAATCGAGGGTCCTTCAGACTGGCTTTGTGGCTAATCTTGCAGTAGAGCTGAGAAGTTCCACGCCGAAGAGTCTGAACGGCATGTGTCTGCGTGTGTGCAGTCCTTGTCAGTGTCCACGGACTCGCATCAATCGCTAAAGTTCGACAACTGCTTCATCTCTATCAGAGGCACAGTGAACCGCAGAGACACTAGTGTGCTGTCAAGCTATGGACGTGTTTCGTCATGCTGCTTTCATCACTGTGCTGTATTGCGGTGCACTGTACCGTCTTTGTGCTGTTCAAGGGAAGGTAGAGCTGGACCTTTAAATCGTCTTCTGTGATTGCCCTGTGTCTTCTGGCGTGGAGGTGGGTTTCCGCTACAACGGCCCCGAGCCAACAACCTTCGGGGACTGGGCGCATAAAGGACGTGCGGCCTGGCCTACAAGTTGCGAGTCGATAGTCTGACTGTTTGACTCAACATCTTTAATTTCTGCAGATCCAACTTTGACCTGAAGCTTGAGACATCAGGTCACAGACTTCTGATGGAGCTGGTCGTCGCCCGTGGGTCAAACGACTGGCGGACTGGCATGGGCCGTTCCGCTACAGTCAATCTCACGGAAAGTGCAGCATTTGCCTTCGCCGCTGCGCGGCATGACCAGGAATTCGTCTGGTCAACTAGCCGTGTGCCACACGAGAAGTTTCACCTTTCAAGCACAGATCATAGCGTTTCCCTTCATTGCGCAATGTTGGGAAGCCTTCAGACCGCATCCAACATAGCAGCCTAGCATGTGGAGGATGTTTTAAAACAGCGTGAGCTGCAAGCATTCCGGTGCTCTTGGGGGTGCCAAACTCCATTCAGAGTAGCAGTGTTGAGGTAACCACTGGGCATGCGTCCCATGCCTAGTTGAAACACTAGGGCTAGTACTCGGCCAGCAGCAGTAGCAGCAGTAGCAGCAATAAGAGTAGTTAGAGTCGTAAGACCAGTAAGAGTAGGGGAGGAGCAGTAGAGACTGGAAGCAGCAACAGCAGCAGCAGCAGCAGCAGCAGCAGCAGCAGCAAAGCATCACAGCACATCGCCCTGATGGCCCGGCTGTCTTAAACTGCAGGCCTGCAACATGTGTGGCTCAAGAATCGAGAGGTTGCCCCACGTCCAGATACGCTCCGAGGCCACCTTCCAAGGCGCAGCATGGAGCCACTCTTAGACCATAGGTTAGGAGCTTCCAAAGCTTACGTTTGGGTGCTGGGCTTGTCTTTGTTGCGTGGGCGTCTTGTGGACTCAAATGTCTTGTTTCAGGTCATCAGCGGACAACCAAGAATTTGTTTGACTTGATAGAGTTCTGAGAGGTTGATGATGTGAATGATTGACATCGTTTTTCGGAGAGACTCGAATTGATCGCGCATAATGGCACAGCAGCTGCGGCAACAACGACAACAGCAGCACATCATCAACACCATCATCATGGTCATCATCATTGTCAGCTACTGCTGCATGTCATCATGCCATCGAAAAAAGCCTATTGCTGTAATAGTAATAAAAGTGTTCCGCAGTGTAGGCCTCTACTTTGCTGGAGCAGTGGCGGTAGAAGTAGCAGTAGCCGTAGGAGTAGCAGCAGTAGTGGCAGTAGTAGTAGTAGTAGTAGTAGTAGTAGTAGTAGTAGTAGTAGTAGTAGTAGTAGTACTAGTACTATTAGTAGTAGTAGTACTATTAGTAGTAGTAGTGGTAGTAGTAGTAGTAGTACTACTACTACTACAACCACGATTACTACCATTACTACCGCTGCCACCACCACTACAACGACGACGACTACTACTACTGCTACTACTACTACTACTACTACTACTACTACTACTACTACTACTACTACTACTACTACTACTACTACTACTGCTAGCACCATTCTTGTGCTCTAACTGTCACTTGCGGTTACTATTACTGCCATCATTTCTACTGTTGGTACCTACGATCCCAATTAATTTACTAGTTGGTTATATGTACAGTTAGTACTGCTGCATCGCTTCGCTTTCGTCATGACTATGACCAATGCTGTTACATTTCCTGGTACTATTGCGATGGATATTGCTATTAATTGTGGGTTACGACTACACAACTACAGCATTTCTGCAGATGCTGTGGGCTACCACTGCTGAGCGTTTTGGATGTTAGCCGTCTTTTTGTCAACTTTACTGAAAGGTGCCGCACATTGGAGGATGCCGGGAAAGATGAGGCTGGGTGTTCGCGCTGCAACCAGGTTAAGGATGATAATGAGCGGAGCAGGACGAACAGCGCACCGAAGCAGCAAAGACTGAACAACAGCAACAACCAAGAGTTTGGCCACGCTAGCCCGGTTGTTGCCGATTCTGCTGCACTCTATGACGTGCAGGAGCTGCATGGCATGTCTGACAGTGTCCTGGCTGTCGAGGTATAGCATGTCTTTGCAAAGCGTTCGTAGTGATGCTCTTGTCCCACAAGTTTTTGGTGCAAGGGTAAGTGAATAGAGTGAAGCGAAGAGAGAGTGGTGGAAGGCTAAACACTTTGCATTTTCGCATTTCCTTTGAACTACAACGGCAGCAGGCCGGACTTTCTCATCCAGAAGCGGATCCAGAAGGTGCGTGGGTCATGGTGGAGTCATGTTTGGCCACCTCCACATCATCCCTGCAGGACAACCAGTTCGCTGTCGCGGCGGATTATGCGTCCAAGATGGCCGCAATCTCGCAGGTCACGCACTGGTTTGAGGCTCGAGAGCTGCGAGCATACTGTGGAAGAGGAAGCTAAGTGATATTACACTGATGGCACATGACTGTTGCATCTTCGCCATAATGTGCCACAAAAACCACGAGTTGATGTCGTCCGGCACCTTTGACCGGAATGTTGTACTTTGGGGTCGATCTTTCATGGATTCCAGGGAGTGCAATGCATGTTATTTGTGGGCTAGGTGGCTGTGCGAGGTATCCTGCAGATCCAATCGGGAAGCCCAACCCGGAAGCTACGTAATCGAGTTTGAGACTTGGTTTCTGATGCTTGTTAAGCTTTGTCCACGCTGACTGTTCAGAGCAGGCCAGAGCACACACGGCAGTTTCAACATCTTGCACTGCCTCAGTGCAATGGCGAGAACTATGCATTTTCAACTTGAGGCCATGCCCATGACCCGCCAATGTGCATTTCCACCGCGAACAAGGAAGTGACCCCACAGAAGTGAGTCCAAAGATGATGTCACATGGAGCGTGTGTAGAAGCTTGCACGTGGCGAGGGCAAGCAGAAGTTTGACTTCGCGGAGACAGAGAAGCGCAGTTCTGAGTTCATCAAGCAGGCGAGCGGCAGCGGTTGAGGGTTTAGGGTTTAGGGCTTATAGGGTTTAGGGTTTAGTGCTTAGGGTGTGGGTCAGTAGGGTTCATGTGTGTGTCCTTCTGGCGCCCCAGAGCAGGAGATGAACTCCTGCAGCGAGGAGCTCAAGATCAGAAGACGACGCTCAGCTGGTAAAGGGCCGTTTTTTCCCGCCTCTTGACGTACAGAGACGTTTTGCGGGTGTTCAAAGACGAGATGTAACGTAGTTCCTGCCATCCCCGAGCACGGAATCAGAAGCCCTCGCAGTGCCCACAAACCCGTGAAGCCGATCCCGTCCAGGAACTAGGCTGAGAAACCTTTATGAGGCAGAGGCCGGGAGCCAAGCATTTCTCTTCGAATTTTGTTTCAGGCCTGTGCACAGAAGATTCAGGTGTAGGTGCATCGAAGACGTTCGGTCGAATTCTGATGGGCTGCACGCGTTTTGACGGGCTTGTTCGAGACTGTCGCGACCCCATGATTGGCATATCCCCGGGCTGACGCTACTGCCAACCCCGAAGAAGCCAGCAGACCCGATGACGAAGCGTAAATCCGATCGGTGAGCGAGCGGAAGTGTGGGCCAGCTTCCTGCAGAGGGGCAGGAGGAGGGAGGGGTTTTGGGGGCTGGGGCGGGAAGGGTACGTTGAGGTGGAGGCCGACTGCACGTTGTTTTAGCACAAGTTGTTGTGCAGTTGATTGCAGATGAAGCGAAGCAAGTACGAGCTTGTGAGAAAGCAATTACGCCTTGCGTGTTTGTTTGCCTGTTTCGAATGCTTTGTGCGGTGCGCGGATTGCTGTTCGGACCGGCTCGTTGCGGCATGTAATTCTTGTGGATACCCACATACTTTCGTTCCTCCAACAAGGAAGAGAGCAGGAAATCGACTGGGGTTGGAAGATGGGAGTGGGGAAGGAAAGCCCTGCAACAATTCTCCTCGCATCGGTAGTTGCTCCCTCTTGGCGGAGTGTGCCAAGGCCAAGGCTTACGAAGCTGAACTAGCTTCTTTGGGCTTGGCCGTGCAACGACACCTGTATTGAGCTGCCTGCCAGGATCTCAGGGAAATTGACCCGTGTGTAGAAAGCACTCTAGTCAGTCTAGTCACCTAGTCTCTACCAGGCTTTGTCTGCTAAAGCTGTCGGGTGTTTGCAGGCTTCGAACGCCTTAAGCTCCAAGCCGGCAGAGCAAACAGATGCTACGGACGAGCTTTGTTGGCAACATCCCCATGGCACCATGGCGGACCATGTCCTTGCCTCTCTAAGGTCTCCATGACATGCTCACGACGTTAGATGTCTCACCATGGCTGTGCATCTTCTCAGAAGATGATGGCCCTCAGTGCACGGACTGGCATCGAGCTCGGGATCCCTTACACCGGAGAGAAACCCGCGTATTCCAGCCGGGTCCCGGGCCACTCATGGCGAATCCAACGAGAAAAGATCCGTTGTGCTGCGTCTCCAATGCATCGACGCAGTGAGGTCGCGGGCGCTGGCTTAAGTTAAGGCCCGAAGATTGGACTCGGCTGTTCTTCCAGCAAGGCGAGCAATGCAGCAACGGAAAGCGATCTAGTCGTGCATTTCTCCCGGCGCGAAGTTTTAAAGTCCTCTTAACCCAACTATGGACAGCCAAGAAATCCAGAGTACGACTACGCGAGCGCTTGGGATTGGGCGAGTTCATTAGGTCGACATGGAAAGGGGGGAAATGGCTCCAGCAAGCCGATACAAAGCATGGGTTGGGCAGACGGGGAGGCCGATCGAGCCACAGCTCTTCACCAAAGGAGGTGCAGAGCATCCAGTTTATTCATATTGAACTATCGGATACTATAGGCATCTCCGGCAGCTCTGCTGGTTCCCCTCCCACAGCGTCTAAATTCTCAAGTGGGATTCGAGAAGGCTGCCCCTCTGTGTGTGTGTGTGTTGGGTCACACCAGAGATGCGTGCCTTGACTGAGAAAAGTAAAGTATTTGAGAAGTGCGGCGGCCGGACAATGATCGGTCGAGGCCATTCACGAAGAAAACAAGTCAGTTTGAGATACCTGCCGGGTCGAGAGCATTCGAAGGCTGGCAACGCCTAGTAGCCCCCGACAGTTGATTGATAGCATTTGTATTTGTAGCCCTGTTCGAGTGCGATAATGAAACAGTTGCCCGTCGCCCGAGTGAAGCACCACCAGAGGCACCTGGGCTAGGGGAAGTGCAGAGAGACGCTTGTGAACTGTGAGCGGTAAGACATTGAAAATCTGAAAATGAGGCTCTTAGGACGGGATAGGATTCCTGCTCCGGAAGCCCTAAAGATGCTTTTGCTAGCACGCCGCGGCGCTAGCAGCATAATTAAGTTATCTTGGAGGCATGTTAAGGCTGTGAAGGATTCGCTTTTCAGACCGTTGCTTTTCGGGCTTCGCATTCAGGGTGAAACGAGGTAATGCGAGTGCAAACTACGCGCGAATACCTGCGGCACGCGGCCTTTCTGCATTTCGTTACATATGTGCTGACACCCACATCCGGGCCGTGCGCACCGGGGGCTTCGCGAATTCTGATGTGACTAACCGTGGGTGATGCGACTCAGCGCAGATCGGGGCGTGAATTTGGGGATGTTGTGATTGAGCGCACCGAAGTCGTTCTGTTTGTGCCAGGAGTCGTTCGTGTGGTCGGTGGTCGAGCAATTAATGGTTTTGGCCCAGAATAGATATCCATAATCAGTGAGGCCATGCGCAATTCAGAAGCCTTCATCAGCTGATGGCTCGAACTGCTCGAGGGCACTGAGAAACCGGGGGGTTCCGGACCAGGGGGCCAGGCAGGGAGGCCTCGAGGGCCACGAGTGTTCGGAATGTTTCGGATTCTGATTTTTGCTTAGGAGGTCGCGGGACTCGACTGGCTCCGCACAGTGAAATCGGGGTTTGGCGAGTTTCGAGCCTCAAGCTTTCTTGATTGCATGGCTTCACTTTCGGGCTTGGTGAGCCTAGGCAAGGACGTAGGTAGGTCATGAGCGCACACCGCATTTGTGGCACATACTCACCACTGCATGGGCCAAAGTCGGTGTCCAGAAGCTTCCAGGCGGCCACCCATGGTCGATGTACCCAGACTAACGAGTCTCGATGTCGGCTCCTCAGGAGGAGCCCTTTGATGCTATGGTGTCGTAACCTCGTGATCACTCGACTGGCAACCTAATAGATTCTACTCGTAGGACGAACATGTCCAGCGCCTTCTGTGCGAGCTTTTGTCTATGGCCTCCCTCATCCACGAAAGTCCTAGGCCCTGGTCGCGGTCAAAGATGGCAGAGCCATCCAGAAGGCAAGGGTGTTGCCAGGGGATTCAGGGGATTCATGGATCCAGATAACTAGTGCGGCTGAGACAGCTCCTATTGTCATGTTCTCCAGGGCAGATCTTGGGGGCTCTTCCGCTTCCGATCCCGCAGTAAAACGGAACGGTGAGCAAAGCATGCATCCTCTGAAACTGCAAGCGCCAAGCCGCCCCTGATGCAGTATGGCTATACAACAGGCTCTTCTGTGCTACCCTGTGCCTGGCCATCAATCATGATGCACTGTGTTTAGTCATGCTCCCTCAAAGACGCGGAAAGGCGCAGGCGGTAGCGGCCCCTCGCGCCAGCGCCCGTGGCAGAGGAAATGGAGGAGCCAGGAGCGGTGCGCCGTGGGTGGGCCTTTCAGGCTGGGTCATGGCCATGTCTATGTGACATTATGTGATTAAGTAGTTATAGGGGCTGTGAAGTGTCGCAAAAGCTGAGAGACCTGGCGAAGCCAAGAGCAGAGCAGAGCTGGCCCGAACGACTACAAATACTATTCGGGCCCCATATTGCATGAATGGGCTTCCAGATCGGTTCTTGGCTGCAGCTGGCTGATGGTCTCGGTTTTTATTGAGTTAGCCGCAGGTTTCCGATTGCGCAGCACTTTTGCTCTAGCTCGCCACGAAGTCAAGGTTCCCATCAGTTTTTAGAACGGATGGCAGAACCAAAACGGGTGCCGGTGACCGTTCTCACCGGCTTCCTCGGCTCCGGGAAGACGACCTTGCTGAACCACATCTTGCAAACAAAGCATGGCATGAAGTTTGCCATCATCGAGAATGAGTTCGGCGAGGTCGGTGTGGATGAGAAAGTCATCAAGGAGGACTCTGAGGAGCAAGTCATCGAAGTAATGAACGGCTGCATTTGCTGCACCGTGCGAGGGGATCTGGTGAAGGTCTTGAAGAAGTTGCGCAGCAAGCTGGATACTTTCGATGGGGTCATCATCGAGACCACTGGAATGGCAGATCCAGCACCAGTTGCTCAGACTTTCTTTGTTGACCCAGAGGTCCAGAAGATCTACCACCTTGATGGGATCGTCACTGTGGTGGACTGCAAGCACGTGCTGGCGCATCTTAAAGAGGAGAAGCCCGAAGGCGTGGAAAACGAGACGGTCGAGCAGATCGCATTCGCAGATAGGATCATTCTCAACAAGACGGACCTGGTGGACGATGCCGCTTTGGAAGAGGTCGTAGCCGAAGTGCAGAAGGTCAACAAAGATGCAGAGCTCATCAAGGCCCAGCACAGCAAGGTGGATCCGGCCAAGCTCCTCGGCATCAACGCCTTCTCGCTGGACCGGGTTTTGGAAATGGATCCCGAGTTCATGAATACGGACGGTGAACACCAGCACGACAACAGCATCAGTTCAATTAGCTGGAAGTTCGAAGGAGAGCTGAATGTCAACAAGATGGAGATGTGGATTAGCGAGATGCTACAGACCAAGGCTGCAGACATGTTCCGTTACAAGGGCATGCTGGCCGTGAAGGGAATGGACACGAAATACCTCTTCCAGGGTGTGCACATGCTCTTCAATGGTGGCTTCTCTGAGGACTACACCTGGAAAAAGGGCGAGACACGAGAGTGCCGCTTCGTTTTCATTGGACGCAATCTCGACAAAGCTTTACTGGAGCAGAAGTTCATGGAGTGCAAGGTCACTTCTGAGGCCAGGTTCAAGGCGGGAGACCGGGTGGAGGCCAATGTTCCAGGAGGCTGGAAAAAGGCGAAGATCATGAGGGTATGGGACGAGGGCAATCCGTATCGCATCCAGCTGGATGATGGCACCCAGGTGTGGGCGCCAGATGATTCGGACAACTTCGTGCGGGCTTTGCCTGCGAACGCTGGTTACTGAGGCAAAAGCATGAGGGGTGGTTCTAGGGCTCAGATTGAGCTCCGAGCTCCAGCTTAAAGTCTGGAGTCTGGCGACTAGTTATGTGCGGGTGCCTGTGTTATGCTGCATAAGGCTTGCAGAACTTTGCAGAACTTTTCACGGCCCGGCGACAGCACGAAAAAGATGCTCGCTGCATGGTTCGGGGCGCGCGGCCACAATGGTCCGCATTTAGCTTTCTGGCTCTCTACTGTAGTTCACCTTTGCGCACATCTCACTGTTGGCTGTGTTTCCGCATCTGCTTCGGGCACCGAATGACTCCACCTCGCGGATGTTGGCATGCCAAAGTTGGCGGCAAGATTTGTCTGAAAGGCCTTTGTGGTGCCGTGGCTGTTGGGCGCCAGCGTCGCAGGCTGCGGGCGCTGCCCTTCGGCATCTCTGCACCTCGGTGAAGTCGTCCGCGACTGTTCAGTCGGTGTGGTGATGCTGTAAGTACATGCAGGACTCAGGAGTTTGTGCTTTAGGTGCTTGATGCCCTGTATTCCTGTCGCTGGAAACTGTCTTGGTGGAGCAAAAAAGGTGCTGGTTTCCAGTCTGTCCATACCTACCTAGATCTACTAAACCCTACTTTTTTGCAGGCTCTTATCGTGAACCCTAATATGGGATTTATAGGGACCCTACAAACCCCTAAACCCTAAACCCTAAATAAGTAGGTTCTCCTAGGTTAAGGCAGAGGAGTACATGTGGGCTATTACTATTATTATTACTATTATTATTATTACTATTATAATTATTACTACTATTACTATACTATTATTGTTATCATTACTATTGAGGGCTTTGTGTGGGCTTTGTGTGGGCACCGGCTCCGAGGTGGTGGGCACGGGCTCCGCAGCTCCCGAAACGGTCGCAGCTTGGTGTCGTTAATAATAGTAATAATAATAATAGTAACAATAATAATAACAATAATAATAATAATAGTAGTAGTAATAATAATAGTAATAGTGATAGCCCTGCAAGCGCCTTCTCACCGTGGTTCGGTGGCTCCTGCCTCAGATAGTTACACGTACCGAGGGCGAAGCAACGCTTCAGGTCTCCAATGACGATCTGGCGGAGATCGTGGAGACCAGCGACGAATGGATCTCGCAACGCACTGGCATCAGGATCGCTGGGCGAAGCTGGCACACGACCTCGAAGTGCTGTGATAATGCGGAAGGGTTGCCAAAGCTTCGCTGTTCCTGCCCCCATCCATGCTCGAAGCCGTGCAGAGCATGATTGCCAGGAGAAGACATGTCCTGGCCCCCGACGAGTCGCTAGCGCCCCTTTCCCTAGTTGGAGAGGCTAGAAGTGGATTGACAAAGAGTCATGGATCTTAAAACCTGATGCAAGCGAGCTCGTCTGACGATGTAGTGCATGGTTGTTCATGTCAACGTGATTCTTTGTTGCAGATTTCCACTGTAGCCGAGGTCGCTGTCTGCAAAAGCTGCGAGCAGAGCTCTGGAAGCTGCGAAGACCCGCGGCAGCAGGCCGAGGAAGATCCAGGAGTTCGGAAGCCCATGCAGGCAGAATCAGACATCTGCTGTATTCACCTCCAAGCAGTGTCGAAGCTGAGGATGTCTCCCGAAGACGTCGACCTGGTGATCCACGCTACCTCTACACCGGACGATCTTTTTGGAACCGGCCCCCAGGACGCCTTCCTGTTAAGTGTGCAGTGTAAGGGCGAGGTGTGTTGCCGCAGGCATGTCCCAAGAAGAGGGGTTTTGGTCCTGGGGCTCTTTGTCAAGGTGTCGCCGTTTTGCAAGGGACCGGTTCTGAGACATGACCTTGCTGCAACTCCGCAGGAAGCCATCCCCAGTAGCCAGGTACCCTTTCAAACTGCCATGTGCAGGTGGCATCCATGCTGGGTGCAGACAATGCCGTAGCCTTCGATTTGACGGCAGCCTGTTCAGGCAGCCACGACGACGTACATCCTCATGGAATGTTAGCTCATACACGTTGTTAGGCATTGGTTCTGACCAGGCGATGTGTTACAGCAGGGACGTTGGAAGTAAACCTGAAATTGCACTGGCAAAAGAGCTTCACCGTAAAGAGGGTCCTCCTACAATAAGAAAGTTTGACCGGCCTGGAATTTTCACATCGAAGAGGGTCACCAAATCAAAGGAGGTGACACATCAGAGCAACAGACGCCGCGTCTCTGCGCACAGGTTTCGTTTTCGCATTAACAACCGCAGCGCAGTATGTGCGCCGGGAGCCTCGGCAAGCCCATCCGAAAGCTCTTCGCTTGTCTGTTTGCCTGCCTGGTTGTGTCGCATTTCGCTTTGTAGTTTGCCTACTCGGGGTCAATGCTTTCGTCAATTTTAGGCGCCACCGTTTCTCTGGTCTGTCTTTCTGCTGACGATCTCTCTCTACCATCCCTCTCTCTTTGTCTCACTCCCCTTCCGCCTCCCTCCTCCCTCCCTCCTCCCTCCCTCCTCCCTCCCTCCTCCCTCCTCCCTCCCTCCTCCCTCCCTCCTCCCTCCCTCCTCCCTCCCTCTCTCTCGCTCTCTGTTTGTCTCTCTGTCTCTCTCTCTCTCTCTGTCTCTCTCTCTCTCTCTCTGTCTCCCTCTCTCTCTCTCTCTCTCTCTCTCTCTCTCTCTCTCTCTCTCTCTCTCTCTCTCGCACTATCGTCTCTCCCTCCCATGTGTTACTCTCAGGACGAATGCCGAATCCACTCTTTACCCCCTGCCCTGCCTGTTCTGTGACGAGCCGCAGGATTCAACAGTAACGATGTGGCACATAGGACGAACGCCAGAATGCACGATCTGGCCGTGACAAAGACCAGGAAGTCCTTCTCGACATTGTGATCTCAGGTAGACTTAGCCTAATCTCTTCCCCCGACTAGTAAAGATCGCCGCAATACAAGAACTTAACCGGTGGAGGCTTTTGTGTCGGAACGCGTAAATGGTTGGGACCGAGAACTGCATCGAAGCCTCCCTCTCTTTGTCTCTCTCTTTGTCTCTCTCTTTGTCTCTCTCTTTGTCTCTCTCTCTCTCTCTCTCTCTCTCTCTCTCTCTCTCTCTCGCTTGCTCAAGCATAAGTTCAGCATCCGAAACCTTACGATTGGAAGAGCGAGTGTGTGCTAGAACCTATGAGTTGATTTGACTGCACAACTGCAGCCAGCAGGGGCCGCAGGAACGTAGGACGACAGGCATTGCCCGGGAACTGCAGGCATTGCGGCAATCCAAGTAGTGTAGGACTGCAGGGTCTGCGGCCTGCGCAAGGAAGGGCTTAGAATATATCGAGGACAAAAGTGAAGATGCTGGCACAGACGCCCAAATAAATGTTAGGAGACATGACATCCCGCTTTAGGATTTGATCCGGGGGGTTTTATAATTGGGGGAAGAAATCATAGACCTTGCAGCTCGCCAAAGAACAGCTATGGCGCTTGTGGAGTCGGAAACATAGCGGAACCCCCTGAATCTCGGTCCATTGCGCACTCAGCGCACTTCGTGAAAATGGAATGGCATAGGTGCTACTTGTAGCAAGTAGAGCCCCACTGTCACACCCAAGAGACTGCCGAGGCTCGGGCTCTTTCAAATCTGCGGTTGTGATCGGCGCGGACTGTGCCCGACCTCAGAAAGTGCACTTGCCCGATGGCTTCCACGGCGGCTTACTCTGCGGAATCGGCTTGCAGACTGAAGAGCCCCGACTTCCGCTTGATATGCTTGCAACAGTGACAGAACTTGCCAGGCTTATCCCGCTGGGTCGACTGGTCTGACCGAAACACCTGCGTCCTCTTCGGCGACGGCGCTGGCGCCATGGTGATCACTGCAACGGACGCGGAAAAGGATGCAGCTCGGCCCAAACAGATGGGTTAGTCGGGGTGATAGTTTGCCACATTTGATCCGGCAAATGCAATCTCGTTGCGATTCTTGCAGCACCGGGTACCCTTCCTGTCACCAGAATGGGCATCCTCAGCTTAAGATCAGACCAGCTTGCGGAGCAATCCCTGCTCGGGATACCGCAACAAAGCATCATTCATGCTCCAGAGGCCTTGCTTGGGTTTCGCATGGGCAGCGATGGCAACGGACGCCACCTGAGAACTGGGATCGAGCAGTCCCTGGGTTCTGGGGAACACTTCTGCTCGCTTGTAGTCTACAACACACGCATCGACATGTTTGTGAACACGCTCTTTGCCATGTTTGTTGAAGCTTGTCTCCCATCGGGAAGCATTCAGATGCAGCCGCAGCTGTGTTCTAAGACCATGTCTAGCTGCCGTGAAAACGGACTCGATTTTGGTCTGTGCTGCCGCCGCAACCGCTACCAGAGAAGCAATCTTGCCAGTTTGTTTGAAGCGGCAGTCGAACGAATCCACCACGATGTTCTCATCCGACCCCGAACCCCACAGTTGAACATGCCATCCCCCAGCCTTCACTTCAGACGCTCTGTCTCCTGGCTTGCAGCTCCTGTGCCCTCCAGTCCAGCCTTTCCCAGGAGCTTGCCACCTGGGCTTGAATGCCGAGGCAGACGGCGTGTCCCTAGGTGCAGGCTGGGTGGCCCATGTGGTCCCGAGACTTTCGTTTTCAGATGTTTGAAGCTGTGGAGAGGGAGACAAAACAGAATATGAGCCTGGACCAACGAGAAGAAATCAGAAGCTCATCGATGTGCTGCACGGAGAAGACATGTTCAGGAATTGCACTTGGATGTCTGAGGCGCTCGGTAATCCATCACTTGACTGGTACTGGGGTTGCTCCTCCTAGGAATACAGGGTCTGGCGGAACTTATGGCCAGTATGCACTGCAGTGGCACTGGGTGAGTCTGTTGTGTGACATTTTGTATCTATGAGAGTCAGCTGTACCGCTTTTCCCCTTTTGGCAAGTGTTTGCCGAGGCAAGGAGGGCGGAGACGGAAGATACCGCAAGGTCACCATGAACGGAGCCTCGGCTGCAAAGTTACTTCATTCACGCAGACCCCGAAGACCCGAGCTGCCCGAGCTCCAACTCTAAACACTTACATAACCTTAACCGCTCTAAGCCTGCTTGACCCTGGTTATCGCAGGCAAGGAAGTCTTCCGTTTTGCGACAAGCAGAGCCCCAGAGGCCCGGACCGATGCGCCACACGATGAGAACTCAACGAACACACAGACACAGATTCTAGTCTAGTGCGCACATCAGATGTCCAAATATGTCATGCATGCATGCATCCATCCATCAGTCCATCCATCCGTCCATACATACCTCCCTCAATCCATCCATGCATGTATGCATGCATGCCAGCAAGTGTTGTTGCTCGGTTGGTGCCTTTCCGGCCTTGAGCCTGACTTTGGGTCAGTTTTTGCTTGTTTTATGGTCAGGCACATCATCCGCATCGGGCCTTCCAGCAAAATAATAGGGAAAGCTTTTTGGTCAGCGTTAGCACCAGGAATGTTTCATGTAGGCATTGCATCTGCATGCTTTGCCCCTTGAGTCGTGGACAGGCCTTTTTCTCAAGTTTGGTTGCTGGTTTGTGCGTCCTGATGCCAGCAAGTCTTTGATGCCTGTGCGCTTCTGCATTCTAGTCTTGACAGCTGAGTCGAGGACATTGCGCAGTAGGACTTCCATGACTCCCGAGTTCGTACAACCACCTTTTTCCCGTCAGACGCTCTCCAAGCTCATGGAACAGCACAACATCAGTGGCGAAGAGGCGGGGATGGCGCCCGGCGGTTGCCTTGAAGGCTTCGAGAGAACTCCTGGAGCCTGTAATACGCACTCCTGAAAAGCATCCGAGTCTTGACAATGATCATGCGATCACCGTGAAGCTTTGCAATCAAAGCCCTGATGTCGGACAATGATCTCTGGTAACCTCAAAAACTCTGACTCGATACCCAGAGCTTCGATACCCCCCTTGGCAACACCTTGGCAGGTAAATGCTAAAGGCCATGTGGAACGGGGGCCAGCTGCAGCAGGTAAAATTCTTTAACTTCAAACTCATAAGATCGGTTTCGCATGGTTCCTCTATGGGCGGGGGATGAATTTCAGGTCGGTTCACTTCAGTTCATAACTGCTGAAGTAGAGGCAGCAGGGGTGATCTTCAATGGCTTCTAGCAGAACAGTTGAGGAGTCTTTTAGTGTAGGGACCAGGACCTCACATACCTTCTCCTCTGAAGGTCGACTGGCTGCTCCTTCACCAGGCCGGACCAAAGCGACTTCCCTTGTCTCCTCTGAGAACCAAGACAGCACATCCAAATCTCCATGAGCAACATTCCTCCTGCCTCCTTTTTCCGTGATGCTCTTGAATGTTATCCCGTTCGTTCTCGTGGTCATCCACATCCTCGTCTCTGCCGTAATATCATGGCGCCTCATCGCAGGTCAAGCCTCCACCACCCTCATAATGACCGTCATTGTCATCAGCAGCAACAGCATTACGTGTAGCATCATCGTTATCTTGTTCTTCAGTTCAGTATCATACTCTGGTTCTTACTACCATCATCGTTCGAATCACTAAGACGGAGCAGTGACTTGGCTCAGACACCCAGCCAGAAACCAGCAGGACTGATCATGCAGTGACCAAACTCAATCAATGGAGCTTAAGCAGAAACAGGCTCTGTCCGCCGGCACTCGCAGTCTGGCAGGGTTTAGATGTTTGAAGCAAGTGGGTTACTTGTCTGGACAGAACGGGGATGCGAGGCTTTGTGGAATATTGTTGCGACTTCTGAACAGAGGACATGTTCGGGCGGGAGATGCAAGGCTAGCGGTCGGCAAGTCGCGAACAACCTCTGGTCTAAACGAAGTCGCAGGCAAACCGCCGGATCATGGATTCTGCAGCTCGTCGGCTGAAGTTGCCGAAGGATGCGAACCGTGCATTCCAGCTGCCAGCTCTACAGAAGACGTTGCAGCTAGACACGATGACGTTGACGGGCGGCTTCAGCTGGCGTTTACCACTTCCTGCTTTGCTTCCAAAAAGTGCCACAGCCTGCAGTTGCCACCATTCTCGGTCAGCGGTGGTTCAAGTAATAGCTGTTATGCAAAGCTTCGTAAACCCCCACCAGGAGAAGATCTTGTGCAACCTGGATGAGTACGGCAATACTTCGGCCGCCTCCATCCCGCTAGCCTTGGACGAGGTACCAGTTCAACCGTCACCAGATGTCGCCAGTGAAAGTGTAAACAAGTGCCAGTTTGTTTCACAGGCAGTTTGACAATGCCATGCTGTGCACCGCATACCTGCGAACCTGCATCAGGCGGTCAAGGAAGGCAAAGTTCAGCCAGGACCTGCGCGAAGTCGGAATTCACGGCACGGAAATGTGCGCTGTTGGACGTGCTACAAGTAGCACAAGGTTGGACGTGGGAGTAGTCCTGCAGGTATTCCAAAGATGTTCGTGACTTCAAACATCCGTTCTGCGCTTCGAAGGACAGCTGGTGGCTTGCTGTGGCTTTGGAGCGGGGTTGACTTGGGGAGGCGGACGGACAATTGATTGTGGTACTGCAATGGCACTCCGAAATAGGCAGCCCAGATCTGCGCATGCTCGGAATGCGCTGTCGCTTGCTGCAGCTGTGATTTTGGCAAAACGGCCAGAACAGTCAGAGCAAGCATGCAGCCATGTCAGCAGGTTTAACTTTGCAGGAAGCTGACCCACAGCCTGAGCCGCAACTAGCGGACCTAGCCATAGCTTACCCTAACAAGCCTGAAGCTTGGGCAGCCGAGTGCATACATGGCGCAGGCCGGCCGCGGCCTTAGATAACTTGACGTGCCGAAGTTGTAGACATGTGACATGTGCAGACATATTTGCACAGTCGCAGACACATGCATGGCTCTTCGTACGCCTGTACCAGCCATACCAGCGTACATGCATGCATACACCTCAAGGACGCACACATGCGTGAGCACACATATTCTCAGTTGCTTGAGTTACTGATCATGCACACAGTAACATATATTTTGCACACACACACACACACGCATAATCTTACATATCTGCACATGCACATACCTACCTGGCTTTTGGGAACGCGCCTTTGAGCAACCTGACATCGGCTAGTCCCTGCAGCTGCAATGGTAAGCTTCTCTGGCAAGCTATTACATCAAGCAGCACAGGCAAGTCCTTCACCTCCTGTAGCTTGACTCTACATCCTAAACCTCCTACCCCCCCCAAAACTTAAACGCCGTTGTACAAAGCCGCCCACGCATGCCGTCACAATCAGCGAGATGAGGGCTCTCCGACCGGCTCAGCGGCTCCTCCCTGCTGAGGTTCTCCCTGGGCTCTGCCCGGCCTTCTGGGCGGTGCGGCGCTCGTGGTCGCTGTTTTTCCAGATCGTGGGGGCGCCAAGGCTGTTCCGATGTCTATGTTGAATTTGGAGAATCAGCAGAGCAGAGCAGTCCATGCAAACACGTCTCTTTGGCGATGGTTTTGGGCTCCAGCTGTAATTGGCATCCCACTTTAGCGGCCCTATCGCGCCATACCTCCTCAGAATGAGCCTGGCATTTACGGTGGGCCAGCCGACGCTGACTCAGAGGATCATGCTGAAGAAGCACTGGGCATGTTTGAGGGAAGCAGCGGGTTTATTACAAGCTTACTGTAAGTTCGTTTGGCTGCTGGCAAGAACGAACTTAATTGGGAGCCACTAGTCAGCTGTGAGAGTGACATGTCGACAGGGGATGGCACGAGTAATCTGAAAGCCTCAATTATCAACTTCGTAAGCAGGACCGGGCCCTTCGATGCCAGAGCCACGGGCGCGCCTTTGCAGAGGAATGACAGAGTGACCGACACCTCAGGAGGCGCATGCGTCCATGCAGCTTCCGCATCCATACATGAATTTTGTGGGGCATATTGCAGCTTTGTGCCACGAATCTCTCGCTCATGATGGCTTTGCCAGGGGCCATGGGGTCAACTCGGGGGCAACAGTTTCAATTCAATGTCTTGCGATTCGACGGCAGGGTGTTGTGACACCCAAGTCTGACGATCGGAGAATGGCGCCACAGGTCGCGAGCCGAATCGGTCCGTCCAAAATGCAAGGCCTTGTCGACACAAGCAAACTGAATGCAAGCTGTGCAACTGTGTATCAAAATACCTCACTCCAGCACCTTGGTGGTGCATGCTCGCGACAACCAAGAAGCAACAGCGGCAACCAGGAACTGCAACACGAAAATAAAAGCCACCACCGCCTCTGCTACCGCCAGCACCGGCACCGCCGTCGCTCTTGCCGCCGCCACCGCAGCGGATACAATGCCAATAACAGCAGCTACAGCGTCGCCGACAGACGTAGCACCAACAGCATGAGTAGAAATTACCAACGATGAACTAGAATCAGGTCAAGCGTGATATCTGTCCTGGAGGACGCGGATGGCAGTCCGTGGGCGCGGCAGTAGCTCTAGCAGCCGCAGCTGGGGCCAAGGCACCAGTCCTTCCTGAGACGCACACCCCCGTTTGAACTGGGATTCCCCACCATGCCTGAGCATCTCACACAACCGCAGAGATTTCTGGAGCCTCAGGTCGCTCGGCGAGCGCGCGGCACAAGTCGGATAACTCTCTTCGCCGACCGGAGGGTGGTGGTGACAGGCCTTTCATGTGTGACTTGCAGTGCGAGGTCATGTTTCGATTGGCCTGTTGTCCCCAAAGATGATGGGGTCTAGTTAGTCTTATCCGGCGCAGCACTGCAGAGCGACAAACATGGGACTCGACTCGTATTTCTTCGCATCTATAGAGGGGTAGCGCAAGAACATTTAGACCGACTGACATCGACAAGCAGCAGCCTGAATGCTGCGCTGATATCATTCGAAGTGAGCAGTTCTTTCAAAAGGCAAGAGAGAAGCCAGATGGCTGCTTCGTGCTTGCAGGTATGGGTATCACGAGCTGCCTTGGCAACAGCCTAGACGAGGTGGCAGATTCGCTCCATGAGGGCAAGTCGGGGATCACGTTTTCCGAGGAGTATGAAAAGTTTGGCATCAAGAGCCAGGTCCGTGGCACACCCGAAATGACTCAGGAGGAGATCAAGGAGCTTATTCCCAGGAAGGCTCTACGATTCATGGGTCGCAACGCTCAGTTTGCGTACATTGCGCTTCAGCGAGCCATCGACGATGCCGGGCTCAAGCCGGAGGATTACGAAAACAACGAACGATGCGCGAGCATCCTCGGCCAGGGCGGCACCTCTATCGTGGATGTCACAGAGAGTGTCGGATTCGTGGCAGACCAAGTAAAGCGCTGGCCGAGCAAGGTCGGGCCCTACCGTGTCACCCGCACCATGGGCTCTACCGTGTCGGCCGTCCTCTCTTCCAGCTTCAAGTTGCAGGGCCCCTCCTTTTCAATCTCCTCCGCATGCTCCACTGGGGCTCACTGCATCGGTGTGGCTATGGAGCAGATCCAGTTGGACAAGGCCGACATGGCCGTGGCCGGTGCAGGCAGACGGCAACTTTCAGGGCCGACCCCCAGTATTTGATAGAAGCAGATACCAAGCACAGCAGGAATACAGGAGCGTCAAGAAATACCAGTACGTACTGTATCAGGTTAACTGCACTACCTGCCAGGTGAGAATGAGTGCTGGGAGTTCACTGCCATGTTCGACTGCATGGGTGCTCTGTCGACCAAAAGGAACTCCGATCCAACCAAAGCTTCGAGAGCCTTTGACAAAGATCGCCTCTTGGCATGTTTCGTTACAGTAGCCATGTAGCAGCCAGTTGAGGCAAGTCCGAATCGTCGATAAAAGAAACACTCCCGCTCCCACCTTGTCTCCCCTGTGGCCCTATGGGGTTTCGTGGTTTGGAGGGTGCGGACTCAGGGCACCTCAGGATGTCGGGCTGGTTTGGTTTGGGGCTTGGCCTCGTCCCAAGGCGATGGCTTTGTCATTGCCGGAGGCGGTGGGATGCTCGTCCTCGAGGCCGGGGTGTTCGGCAGCTTGAGGGTTTAGGGCTGAAGGTAAGGGGATTGAAGCGTTACAGGCTTGTGCAAGGCTTGGAAGTTCACCGGCAGTCGCCAGTCCCGGATGCAGAGGTCGTACCAGGTAGTATTGGTACAATGTCCCACAGCGTTGCAGATCGAATCGTTTCTCTATGGCTGTGCTGTTTAGAGAGTCTGACGGCTTCTTGTTTAGAGATGGCTCTTTGCTGCCATGGGTTCCACGCCGACTAGCTTGGACAAAGACCTTTGTCCTTGATTCCTTAGCAAACCCAGACCCCTCGACGCCGAGCCAGATTTTTGTGCAATTGGCAAAGTCCTCCTTCCCAAGTCCGACACCGGTATGCTGATCATGCCAAAGTGTCGCGGGCTGATTCGGGGGTCCGGCTCATTGTGCTTTTTCCTAGCTGCAAGCATCATGTAGCTGTCGGTGTGCGGGACAACGCCTGCAAATTTCTGCAAAACTCGGTTTCCTTACTCTGGAGTGCCGTCTGACGCTCAACTCAGCATTTTCTGGACAGGAGCTGGAGCATGCAAAGGCCCGAGGAGCAAAGATCTATGCAGAACTTACCGGGTATGGCGCCAACTCTGATGGCTCCCCGGATTTTTTGAGCTAAGTCGCGTGTCATTTCGAGACAGAGCTGTTTTGTGCGCATGCGTTGATGCACCTACGATTCAATGACTTTGAATAGAAGCCTTCTCCTGTGTCATCTTGCACGCTTGCTGTATGCTTCATGCGTGAGGCTACGATGTTGTGGCCCCGTCCGGGGTTGGTGGTGAGCGCTGCATGAAGATTGCCATGGCCATGGCCGACAAAATTGGCGGTGAGAAAGAAGTTGGCTACGTCAACACGCACGGCACGTCTACCCCGGTCGGTGATGTACAGGAGCTAGGCGCCGTCAACCGTGTATTCACCGAGAAAGGCTACCAACCCTTCGTTGGTTCAACGAAGTCCATGTCCCTGGGCCGAAGCTTGCAGGAATGTGTTTTCAACCTAGGAATGCATCAGATGCCATCCTCATGATTGACATCGAAGTTTTTATGCAATCAACTCCGCAAATTCTGAGTGACCAACCTGCAGTCCCACAGGTCAGGGCACGCCTTGGGCGCTGCGGGCGTCCATGAGGCCATCTATTCCATCCTGATGATGGAGAGGGGCTTCCTGGCAGAATCCATCAACATCGAGGACACTGATGGAAGAAGTCATGAAGTTTACTAACAGAACTTGAATGTTGTGTGTGCGTCTGATATCCGTGCCGTCACAGAAGTAGCTGTATAAGAGGAAATACGTAGCTTTGCAACTCTCGCACTGGTCTCAGTCGCCATCCTAGTAGGGACACTGCTGTACAATTGGTTGTAGTCGTCGTTGTACTTGTAGTAGTGCGCCTGTACCGTAAAGGCAGAAGCGCGAGTACCAGTCGCTGCAGGAGCGACAGCGCAGCAGACAGTATAGTAGCAGAAAGGGCAGGAATGGTAGTATGAGTAGCATAACCGGTCCACAGCAGTAGCCTTAGCAGTAGTCGTCGTCATCGTCATAGTCCAAGTAGCAGCGGCAGTCGCAGTCGCAGTC